GTGAGGGAAGGAGCAGAAAGCAGGAGCCATATTAGATGCGACACTTAAGAAAGGTATCTCTGGGGCCGGGCGCAGTGGCTCAAGCCTGTAATCCCAGCACTTTGGGAGGCCGAGGCGGGTGGATCACTAGGTCAAGAGATCGAGACCATCCTGGTCAACATGGTGAAACCCTGTCTCTACTAAAAATACAAAAAATTAGCTGGGCGTGGTGACGCATAGCTGGCCTGTAATCCCAGCTACTCAGGAGGCTGAGGCAGGAGAATTACCTGAACCCAGGAGGCGGAGGTTGCAGTGAGCCAAGATCGTGCCATTGCACTCCAGCCTGGGTAACAAGAGCGAAACTCCGTCTCAAAAAAAAAAAAAAAAAAAGGTATCTCTGGCTGGGTGCGGTGGCTCACGCCTGTAATTCCAGCCCTTTGGGAGGCTGAGGCAGGTGGATCACGAGGTCAGGGGTTCAAGATCAGCCTGACCAATATGGTGAAACCCATCTTTACTTAAAAAAATACAAAAAATTAGCTGGGCGCAGTGGCACATGCCTGTAGTCCCAGCTACTCGGGATGCTGAGGCAGGAGAATCACTTGAACCCAGGAGGCAGAGGTTGCAGTGAACCAGGATCGTGCCGCTGCACTCCAGCCTGGGCAACAGCGAGACTCCATCTCAAAAACAAAAAGAAAGTATCTCTGGGTATTTGACACTGTTGGCCACTCCCTCCTTAGTTTTTCCTAGTTTCATCTGCTTCTCCCATCTCTCTAACTATTCCCCTTTTGGTCTCTTTTACATGACCATTTCTTCTCTTCCTGTTTTTCTTTTTTTAGTTATAAAACATTTTCAAATATGAATTCTCAAAAACAGAATAATTCAGTGAACACATATACCTGTCATCCAGATTCAACATTTATCAAGATTTGGTCATTTGCTTTATTCTCTTTTTCTTTACTAAAGTATTATAAGCATTCCAGACGTATCATTTCTTATCTACTTAATTCAGTTTGCCTTGCTAAAAATTTGGATGTTTTCTTACACATCCACATAAAGCTAGTAATATTGCCCAGGTATGTATCATCAATCCTTAACCAGGTTTTTCAGATTTTCTTCAAAACTGTGTCTTTACAGTTGCATCCAAATCAAGTCTGTACATTGCATTTGGTTGTACTTCTTAAATGTCTGTTACTATAGAACAGTATATCCCTGTTTTTACCCTTCTGTTTATTCATAGAAACCAAGACAGTTGTTTTATAGAACTCTGCTTTCTGGATTTATCTCGTCAAAGAATGAGACCCTCTCTCAATATCTGAAACAAAAAGCATAAAGCTTGTTTTATTCCTTGCTATAGTAAGTGTAGAGTCTCCCCAAACCTAGTAGACCACTAATCTTATGTAGGGTTTAGAGGAAGGATGGAGATCAAGAACTGGCAGATTTTCAGGTCTATAAGTGGGTTGACATTAGCTGGTTAAACTTTTTAGCAAGATTATTTCACAACTAATACTGTGTGGTCCCTATTACATCAGGATGCTTACAATACCTGGTTGCCCCCACTTTAAGTGATGGGCTCCAGTGGTTGCAGCTGATTCCTCCATTGTACAGTTCCCTGTCAGGCTTTTAACTAATGGTTCTATCCATTAATAATCATTACTTGAAATGATTATTTTATAAGAAATTCAAAAGTGATGAATTGCTTTTTTAAAAAGTGTTTTTTAGAGATGAGGTCTTGCTCTGTTTCCCATACTGAATGCAGTGGCATGATCACAGCTCACTGCAACGTCAAACACCTGGGCTAAAGCAATCCTCCTGCCTCAGCATCTCGAGTAGCTAGGACTACAGATACACACAAGTTCTTTAATCTTTTGTACCGATGGTATCTCGCTATGTTGCCAGGCTGGTCTCAAACTCCTGAGTGCAAGTGATCCTCCCACCTCCACCTCCCAAAGTGTTGGGATTACAGGCATGAGCCACTATGCCCAACCATAATTTTCTATTATTATTATTCCTTCCTCATTTATTAGCTGTTATTTTCTCGAACAACAAACTTTCCCTCATCAACTATGATGATTTTAATTACTTAAAATAAGGCTCATTCAAGAAAGAGAATAAATACTTAATTCTTTTCTTGTTTCTAATGTCAGAGCCCTAGTTACTTCCAGTAGGAGTAGTATCCAGTGAGTTGAGTATTTGTGTCTTGGCTTTGCTTTTTCTTATTTTACTATAATAAACTCATGGGATTTAATAATCAGTGTGATTCAGGCAGTCGCATTCATTATTTTTAATGCCCAAATTGTTCTTTTTCTGACTACCTTTTAAATGCTCTTCTCCCCCAACATCCATCTATGATATGCTTTTCTTCCCCCTCTGTACTTACTTTCCTGACTGACTTCTGTCTTTCCTATAACTACCCTCAACATTTTAATTACTCTCAGATCACTCTTTCTTACATGAATTTACTGGGCATTAGACCTGTGTTTCCATTTACTCACCTGCCTGGCCCTCCCAAAACATATTACATGCATGATTTCACATCTTTGAACTAAATGTATCTTTATTTGCTGTTCTTTTCTTCTTCTTATACTGCCAGTTATCAGCATTTTCATGCACCCTCTTTCCTAAGCCAGAAACCTGGAAATCATTTTTTATTTCTTACACATAACTAGGTATTCTCCAAATTCAATTTCAGAATTATTTCACTGTTCCAGCCTTTCCTCTGAATTGCACTGCTTACAGTATTTAGGCCACAGTAACCTCTTACCCACACTATCTGACCACATTCCTAAGTTGACTGCTTTCCACTTAGGACATCTTCCCACTCCAAATTGTTCTCTACTACCCTTGGAGTTAACCTCTTAAAAATAAGTCTGGTCATGTTAGCTCACTGTTTCAAGACCTCTGCTGCATCCCTGTTACCTAATACAGCATTGTTTCCCCAGATTTGTTCAAGGGAGTATTAATTCTACAAGATGTTAATAGGTATTATTTGAAAAAGAGGTGCTGGAAATAAATACTTAGAAAATACTGATTTCACCCATAATCCCAGCACTTTGGGATGCTGAAGTGGCAGGATCACATGAGGCTAGGAGTTCAAGACCAGCCTAGCCAACATGGCAGAACTCCATTGCTACAAAAAAGTAAAAAATATATAAATTATCCAGGTGTGGTGGCATACCTCTGAAATTCCAGCTACTTGGGAGTCTGAGACATGAGAATCTCTTGAACCCATAAAGCAGAGGTTGCAGTGAGCCAAGATTGTACCACTGCACTCCAACCTGGATGACAGAGTGATATTCTGTCTTTAAAAAAAACACTGATTTCTTTTTTTTTTTTTTTTTTTTAATGGAGTCTCGCTCTGTCACCCAGTCTGGAATGCAGTGGCATAATCTCAGCTCACTGCAACCTCCGCCTCCCGGGTTCAAGCAATTCTCCTGCCCCAGCCTCCTGAGTAGCTGGGATTACAGGCACACACCACCACACCTGGCTAATTTTTGTAATTTTAGTAGAGACGGGGTTTCACCGTACTGGTCAGGCTGGTATTGAACTTCTGACCTCGTGAATCCACCTGCCTCAGCCTCCCAAAGTACTGGGATTACAGGTGTGAGCCACCATGCCTGGCTGATTTCTTTTCTCTAGATTTCTCAGCCTTTTTATATGCGGTGTATTTTAATTCTGTGTCTCTAATAAGGGGATATAATAGATGCCATTCTACAAGCTCATTGGGTCATGAATTTTTTTATTGTTGCTAAGTATCTAGAGGGATTAATATTATTCAGTAAAATTTGGGGAAACACTAGCCAAATGAATCAATTATCAGCCTTTAGATTGTATTCAAGAACTTTCATTATCTCCCATGTTAAATTAAATATCCCCTACTGGTCCCTTATCACTCTTTGTGTATGCTCCTCTGCATTTGTCTCTTAGTATACTAGGATTATCTGTATCCATCTTCACCATGGACTGTGGGGTCCATGGACTCTGTTTATCTCTGTATAGACCTCAGCACTAAACAGTGTCTGGCATGTAATAGCTCACTAACAACTCACTGAATAATATATGGATCTGTTTCTGAAATAGGAATTTTCCCTAGCTGTGTTATTATTGTCATACTTACAGGATCATTGGTTTCTTTAATTTGTAGGTCTGGAAAAAGAATTAAAATTATATATTAGAGCTGAAACAGACCTTCAAGTTCATCCAGGCCAGCAGTTTTTAGACTGTATATCTTCAGTATTCCATAATCCTCTTTCCCACCAGTTCCCCTTCCCTGCAGGGGCTGTTAAAGGGAATGGAAAGGAAAAAGTGGCATATGAAACACATGTTCTCTTAGCAGTTTTAAATGTTAGGTTTCATAAATTCCCTTTGAGGAGGAGTTCTGAGGCTACATTTTGGGAGCCATTGGTCTAGTGACCAATACCCTTGCTTATGAAGAAGTGATAACAGGCCCAGAATAATTGACTTTCCCACTGTCACAAAGTTCTTAGTAACAGAGCCAGAACTAGGATTCAAATGATCTTACTTTCACAGTGCTCTTTGCAATATTTTGAAAAATTAAAAAACTCGTTAGATTATGAACTGAAATTTGGTTATGTGTTCACATGAAAACTTGTACATAAATGTTCACCATAGCTTTATTCATATTAGCCCAAAACTGGACACAACCCAGATGTCTTTCAACAGATAATGGATAAACAAACTAACGTATTCATACAGAAGCCATATATGTAATAAAATGGCATAGAACTAAACACACAAATAAGTGCAAGTAAAACCAGTGCCATGTGAATGAGATAGTTGGATTGTTTCCTTGTCAATATCCTGGTTATGATAATTGTATTGTAGTTTTGCACAATGTTACCATTGGGAGAAACCGGGTAAAGGGCGCAGGGGATCTCTCTGTTTTATTTCTTACAACTGAGTGTGAACCTACAAGTATCTCAAAAAGCTTAATTTAAAATTTTTTTAAAATAAAAGTACAGATGCCTCCAAGAAATAAAATATTATGTGGATTTATTATTTAGAGCCAAACTTGGAATGCCTCAGTTTTTGAGTCCTGAAGCCCAGAGTCTTTTACGAATGCTTTTCAAACGAAATCCTGCAAACAGATTAGGTAAAAATTTTAATTAATTTGTTTATGTTGTGTATTTGTTGGTGTTTGTTATAGTGGGGAGTGGATATTTGTTTTATGGTGGAAGATTAACTATTTAGACAAAGCTAGGCATGGTGGCTCATGCCTGTAATCTTAGCACTTTGAGAGACCAAGGTGGGAGAATTACTTGAATCCAGGAGTTCAAGACCAGTCTGGGCAACATGGCGAAACCCTGTCTTTACAAAAAATACAAAAATTAGCCAGGCCTGGTTGTGTGCACCTGTAGTCCCAGCTACTCAGGAGGTTGAGGTAGGAGGATCGCTTGAGCCTGAGAGGTTGAGGCTGCAGTAAGCTGAGATTACACCACTGCACTCCAGCCTGGATGATAGAGCAAGCCCTTGTCTCAAAAGTAACTAATTAATTAGGCAAGTATTGAAAGCAAAGGCTGAACAATATGTATATTTCTCCTTGAGATAAAATTACCAATGAATCCATTTTTGATAGGTGCAGGACCAGATGGAGTTGAAGAAATTAAAAGGCATTCATTTTTCTCAACAATAGACTGGAATGTAAGTATAGAATGAAAACTTGCTTGAAATATTTCATTAGAATTAAAATATATCTAAGTCTCTTTTTTTTCCTCCAGAAACTGTATAGAAGAGAAATTCATCCACCATTTAAACCTGCAACGGGTAGGCCTGAAGATACATTCTATTTTGATCCTGAGTTTACTGCAAAAACTCCAAAAGGTAAGGAGAAAATGTGAAAATACAGATATAAGATAACAAATATATTTTTTTTCTTGTTCAATCAGAAAATCTTTTCCAGACTCTGGGCACAGTGGCTCACGTCTGTAACCCCAGCACTTTGGGAAGAAGGCCAGGCAGGCGGATTGCTTGAGGCCAGGAGTTCGAGACCAGCCTGGCCAACATAGTGAAACTCTGTCTCTACTAAAATATAAAAATTAGCCGGGTTTGATGGCATGCGCCTGCAATCCTGGCTACTTGGGTGGCTGAAGTACGAGAATCCCTTGAACCCGGGAGGTGGAGGTTGCAGTGCATCAAAATCACACCACTGCACTCCAGCCTGGGTGACAGAGTTGCACTCGGTCTCAAAAAGAAAAAATGCAAACCTTTTCCAGGATAACCTTTATGCTATCTTCAAATCTCCTAAATTTGCTGTAGATCCACCTTGTCTCCCCTGTTCCACCCCAGCTGGGTTATTATTGAGGGCCGCAGTGTCTAAAATGGTAGCCAGTAGCCACATGTAGCTAATTAAATTTAAATTAATTAAAATTTAAAATGTAGTTTCTCAGTCACACTAGGCACATTTCAAATGTCAAAAAGCTGCATGAAGCTAGTGGCTATCATATTAGACTGTAAAGATAAAATTTCCATCATTTCAGGAAATTCCATGGGACAGCATTAATTTTGAATATCATTAACCCTATAATTCATCAATTAATTCTTCAAATGAATTAGCTATTTTCTAGGCTCCAAGGGACTAGGATGTTGGTGTTGTAATGGCAATACACAATCAGAAAAGATCTGATACAGTACCTCACAGGTATCCTGGAAAGCAAGAGGTATATACTGTGTACCTGAGAAACAGAATTCCAGAATAAGTGAAAAAGGTCATAGTGTCAACAGTTTTTCCCTTAGTTACCTTTCAAATGAATCTTGTCACTTCTTACTCTTTTCAGATTCACCTGGCATTCCACCTAGTGCTAATGCACATCAGCTTTTTCGGGGGTTTAGTTTTGTTGCTATTACCTCAGACGATGAAAGCCAAGCTATGCAGACAGTTGGTGTACATTCAATTGTTCAGGTGAGTGGATGTCTAAATAATTTTAGATTTGGAATGTTGTAAGATATAGTTCATTCTGTGAATAATTAGATTTTTTTCTGCTGACTTTAAATGAGCAATTTAAAATACATTTTAGACTGGGTGCAATGGCTCACACTTGTAATCCCACCATTTTGGGAGGCCAAGGTAGGTGGATCACTTGAGGTCAGGAGTTTGAGACCAGCCTGGCCAATATGGTAAAACCCTCATCTCTACTGAAAATACAAAAATGAATTGGACGTGGTGGCGCACACCTGTAATTCTGGGTACTCAGGAGGCTGAGGCACAAGAATCACTTGAACCTGGGAGGCGGAGGTTGCAGTGAGCAGAGATTGCACCACTGCACTCCAGCCTGGGTGACAGAGTTGAAACTCTGTCTCAAAAAATAAAATAAAATAGAATTCATTTTATATCATTAACTTTACTCTTTGAAATTTTTTTCATTTATCATCGAAAAGGTTGCAAGAGCCAAAATCCTAGATACCTATGTCACTTGAAAATAGAGTTGAGCTGTTTTATTTATGTCCTCTCCTGTGCCTCAAAATGTTTTTCATGCTGAGTTTGTTTCACCCTTTGCCTCCATCAGGTCAGCTATGGTGAATTGAGGTCTTCTGGTTCTTTGATGCCTTAGAACAGGGGTCAGCAGACTTTCTCTGTGAAGGGTCAGATTATATTTGAGGCTTTGTGGGCTATATGGGCTCTGTCACAACTACTCAACTCTGCTATGTAGCACAAAGAAGCTGCAGACAATACATAATTAAGTGGACATGGCTGTGTGCCAATAAAACTTTATTTACACACACAGGCAATAAATCAGATTTGGCTCAGTGACCATAGTTTGGCAATGTTTGCCTTAGAAAGATACAAGAAATAAAAATGAACTCAAATCTTAAGTCATCTTTCTAATCAAAGGGAACTAGATATATGTTTTGAAGCAGTGGATTGTTTTTAGTATATAATTTGTACTTGGATTTGCTTGATGATTAAGTTGCTTTTGCTCTAAAGATTTTTCATGAGTCAGTTACGCTGCTTTCCACTTTGTAGAAAACCAATTAAAACACTGGTTTTTAAGCAGAGCTCATGTTGGAATAGTCTGTGCCATTCACTATGCAAGCACATGAATGTATGGCAACTTTTTAAATTATAAATTCTGTACCTAACATAGAAACCACAAACTTGTATATTCTACAGAATTCAAGTTTTAATGCATAGTATACAAAGCTCATGGGCATGGAGGTCTCATATCAGTATAGCAAAGGGCAGCACAACTTTCCTCAGCCTGTTTATGGAATCAGTAAGTTGCTGTTTATCATCTGCTGTATATGTTATTAGTCCCTAACCCATGACCAGCTTCTTTAGCAGAAATTGTATAAAGCTATGACTTCAGGGTGAAGAAGGGAGGGTGTGGCTACTGAAAGTCCAAAATGCGCTAATAAGTATTGCTTGCAAATACATTGTTTTATTTAATCTTCAGCATTACTCTCTGAGAAAATACAGGCTCAAAGTTACACAGCCTGTAAGTGGTACATCTGAGACAAGAATTCAGATGTTCTAATTCTGAATCCTCTTAAATCCTTTTCTTCTATACATAGGTTTCAAACCTCTCATTTGCAAAGGTGCTTGAAAACTTATAGCCAATTCAGAAGTGGAATGAGGCTGAATCACAGACAAGGATATAGGTCTCACATCAAGTAGCTCTGCTTTTTCTATTGTGCAAATTCAATTTTTATTTTTAACATAAGCTTTTTTAAGGCACATTTCTTCCTGTACATTTCATTAGTAAACACTTCCAAAATCACTTATAGAAGAATAAGTACTATAAAGATGTATTTATTCTTACTCATTTATATGTAGAGCGTCAACAATGCATGCTGAGTAACATTCTTCCCTATTATAAAATGCACTAAAGGTATTATGGGACTCTTCACCAATTTATAATTTTTTGTAGCAGTTACACAGGAACAGTATTCAGTTTACTGATGGATATGAAGTAAAAGAAGATATTGGAGTTGGCTCCTACTCTGTTTGCAAGAGATGTATACATAAAGCTACAAACATGGAGTTTGCAGTGAAGGTAAATATTTTTTATTTAAAATCTAAGTTGTACAGTTATTGTTAATGCATGTCAGTACCAGTTAAAAATTACACTCATTGTTAAAAATGTCTTTTATTATAAAAAAAATTAAATTTAAATATCTGGCTAGTGATATTCAGAGACCTTAATCTATCTAGAGCCCTATAAGCTAAAGGTAAGGTGGTTATACATCTAGTTTGCCCAGAGTAGTACCAGTTTACACCTCAAGTGATTTTTAAAGTATCTTTTTTGCTCTTAGAAGTCCCCATTTTATGCTCAGGGTGTCAGCAAATTCCTCAAAATTGTATGCAAAATTTTGTATGTTTGTATCTTCCCTGGCAAAAATGTTCATACCTTTCTTTACATCTAAAAGGATCTTGGAACTAATAAAAGAATAAAAACCACTATCATAAAATTCATTATCATTGGCTGTTTTAATTTCATCAAGTATCCTAAGACAGAACTTTCTAAGGCAAAAGCCAAGGAACCTAGCTCTGCAATAAAGTTTGAATTTCAAACCTTTGTTTGTTCACTTACAGCTAAGTAAGTGAACAAACACTATATTCAAATCTGTCTTTTCACTTCTTGGAATAGTAGTAGCCTCTGCTCTCCAATCTCAAGCAATTCAAACAACATCTAAAGCTTTCAACTTATTTAAACCTTAAGACTGGTTTATAAATATGCATAGCTCCTGTGTAGAGAGATAGTGACATTAGTTATTACTGTTCTAAACTCAGATATAACTGCTTCAGAGTCATCAGTATGTATAGGGCTTTTGTGTGGATAGGATGAACCATAGAAATACATTTAATTTGCTTCATTGGAAGGACAGTAAAGCTAATTTTAAAGAAGGAAATAAATTTTTAAAGAAATACTTAATTTTCTATTTTCTTATTCCTTGCTCTTACTGAAATCTAAGATACATAGAAATTTTCAAATTGCTTACATGAAAGGAAAAAAGACTGATAACATATTTGGTGGGCAGTTTAAGGATGTGTCTTGCCTCCATAAATACATGATAACAAGCAGAAATGTCCTGAGGCCCCTTTGCATTACAGAAACCTTGAGGACTATGCCTAAAACCTCGAAAATATCTCCAAGCTATTTGTGGATATTTGTGACTTAAATGATTCATAAAACCCATCCCAATATAACTGGACTACTGAAATTACTACATATTTGAGGTCCACAAGCACAAGTATAGCTCTAATGTAAACTGGGCTCAGATTAGCAGATGTACGCCAAAAACAACCCCTCCCAGTGTCTTCTGGTTTTTAAAAAACTAGTCCCAGATCATCTCTTAAATTAGCATGTCTGTTCCATATACCTGTCCTCTTAATCACCCATTTGCCTAATTCCACACTATCATTTGCAGTTGATTACAATGGGCACCTATATGTTTATCTTCTCTCTTCTCCAAATACAGAACTGTTTTATGACTACAGTCCATCCTTGAATAACACAGCACTTAGGAGTGCTGATCTCCAAGCAATTGAAAATCTGTGTATAGCTTGACTCCCCTAACTTAACTACTCATAGCCTACTGTTTACCATAAGCCTTACTGATAGCATATACACACATTTTGTATGTTATATTTATTAGATACTGTATTCTTACAACAAAGTAAGATAGAGAGAAGGAAGTGTTATTAAGAATATCATGCCGGGCACAGTGTCTCACATTTGTAATCCTAGCACTTTGGGAGGCCTAGGTGGGAGGATTGCTTGAGGCCAAGAGTTTGAGACAAGCCTGGGCAACATAACAAGACCCTGTCTCTATAGAAAAATTGTTTAAAAATTAGCCAGGCATGGCTACGTGTACCTGTAGTCCCAGCTACTCAGGAGGCTGAGATGAAAGGATTGCTTGAGCTCAGGAGATTCAGGCTGCAGTGAGCTATGATGGTGCCACTGTACTCCACCCTTGGCAACATAGCCAGACCTCATCTCTACAAATAATTTTTAAAATTAGCTGAATGTGGTGGCATGTGCCTGTGGTCCCAGCTACTCAGGAGGCTGAGGTGGGAGGATCACTAGGACCCAGGAGTTCAAGGTTGCAGCAAGCCATGATTGTGCCACTACACTCCAGCCTGAGCAACAGAGCAAGACCCTGTCTCAAAAAAATTATAAGGAAAAGAAAATATATTTACTATTCAATTAAATGGAAATAGATCATAATAAAGGTCTTTATCCTCATCATTTTCACCTTGGATAAGGTGAAAATGTAAGTAGGCTGAGGAGGGAGGAGGAGGAGGAGAAGGAGTTGGTCTTGGGTGGCAGAAGCAGAAGAAAATCCACGTGTGATTGGTCCCTCATAGTTCAAACCTGGATTGTTCAAGGGTCAACTCTAAATCTATTTCAGACAGAAGATTGGGTTCATACTGACAGTTGTAACCTCTTTCCTAGGTTGCTGGAGGGCCCGGGTATTTAGTACATACATTAATTACTAAGCTGTTTAAAATTGAACATACAAAGGCCACCTAATTTGTTTCAGACCACCCTTTGAATGAATCGAAAGCAAAATTTATCCTTTTTATATAATATTAGTTTAGCAGAGTAAAATATTAAGAGAAATATTACTATTTTAAAGGGCTTTATTATAATAATTAAACTGAATTCTAACCAAATATAATTCTAGGTATGATTTTCTGTGTAGCTTTCTGCCTAACTTCAAAAAGAAGATTGTTCTGCTTAACTGGTAATTAGCTTTTATAAGTAGCTTACAACTAACAGGATATTCAACTGAAGGATTTTATTAAAGGAAGTAAACAATTCAATAAGCAGATATTAGTGGTGGTGTTTTATCTAGCTCTTAATTATCTGTATTGATGGGGGTTAGAAGTTGATTGGAGTTCCCAAATGTTTAAGACCTTCAAGGATAGAAGAAAAGATACGTTGACTGTGTTCTTGGTACCTTTTCTCAAGACTTTTTGAGCTTTTGGTAAGTCCTAAACTTACTACAAACTTAACATTGGAGAGGCATGGTGGGAATGTGACTCATGAGTTGTAATTTTATAGCCTTGCCATCTATATTAAGACTGGCTTCCTGATTAAACAGTAAAGGTAGTTGAATAAAACTGATTGATAAATGACTTATTTATACACTATTTACATGAGGTAATGCCCAAGGTCTGCAGTTATAAACAGTTAATAACTGTATAGTTCATGAGCTTCTGTTCTAAAATATTTGCCTTTTAGATTATTGATAAAAGCAAGAGAGACCCAACAGAAGAAATTGAAATTCTTCTTCGTTATGGACAGCATCCAAACATTATTACTCTAAAGGATGTAAGTAGACTCTAACATGGATCATTTGAATCAGTTGTCTAACTCACATTGAAAATAGTGTATTTTCAAAAATCGTATTGTAGACAAAGGACTCAACATAGGCTGAGCACAGTGGCTCACTTCTATAATCCCAGCAGTTTGGGAGGCCAAGGCAGAAGGATTACTTGAGGCTAGGAGTTCAAGACCAGCCAGGTCAACACAGCGGGAACGCCATCTCTACGAAAAAAAATTTTTTTTTTAATTAGCTGGGCCGGGCACAGTGGCTTACACTTGTAATCCCAGCACTTTAGGAGGCTGAGGCAGGAGGATTGTCTGAGCCCAGGAGTTCAAAACCAGCCTGGACAACATAGGGAGACCCTATCTCTACAGAATATTTAAAAATTAGCCAGGCATGGTGGCTCACACCTGTGGTCACAGCTACTCTGGAGGCTGAGGTGGGAGGATCGCTTCAACCTGGCAGGTAAAGACCGCAGTGAGCAGTGATTGTACCACTGCACTCCAGCCTGTGTGGCAGAGCAAGACCCTGTCTCAAAAAAAAGAAAAAAAACCTCAGCATGATAAGTTTAAAGTAGATTTGAAAACAATGTATATATGTATATGGCATAATTTCATTTATCAAGAAAGATATGTTTATACAGTTTTTTTTATACTTTTGCTTTAAGAAGAAAAGTACTTAGGATATTATTGCTTTTAATATCTGCATTTACTTGAACATTTACCTAAATGTTCAGTGTTAATATTACTGTTAGTTAATATTCAATATTGACTAGTCTCATTCTCCAGCCTCCCCTAAGGTATCTTCCACATTACTAGAAAGAGATCTAACACTCATAACTACCCATTTAACTTCCCTGCCTATAGTCTATAATCTCCAGCCCCTTAAGACCCTGCCTTCCTCTGTAGTTTTCAGACTTCTCACATACACTTTTTCATCCACCTTATGCTCTGTGTTCCATTATGTAAATTTCTTGCACATGCCTCATTTTTACCATGCTGCTCTGTCTAAATTTATAGTTCCCTTAGTTGCTAACACCACTTATTTTCTTTGCCTGGCTAACTACCACACATAAAGATTTTGCTAAGGCATTGCTTCTTCCAGGAAGCCTGCCCTGCTCATTGCCACCCCAAGGACAAGTAAAGTATCTTCCACTGGACTGTTATGATACCCTGCTGCCTATGGCTCTCTTGACTTTTATTATAACAAAGTGTCAACAAAGAGTGTGAACTCCTCAGGTAGTGTTCAGTCCTCTCTTGCTAATGATGTTCACAATAGGCCCAAAGGCCATATCTGGTTGTTGTCAAAACTCAAATTTCCTCAGATTATCATTGCTCATGAAGACATGGCAAAACCTCATCTCTACAAAAAACTGCAAATGTTAGCCAGTTATGGTGCCATGTACCTGTAGTCCCAGCTACTTGGGAGGCTGAAGTGGGAGGATCACTGAACCCAGGAAGTAGATATTGCAGTAAGCCAAGATTGTGCCAGTGCACTCGCGGGCGACAGGGCAAGACTCCGTCTCTAAATAAATAAATAAATAAAATTTTTCTTGAATATAAAATGAGTTTCTCTTTTATATTTTAAATTCTGTTTTGGACACATAAATTACATTTTGATGTTAAATTTTATAGGTATATGATGATGGAAAATATGTGTATGTAGTAACAGAACTTATGAAAGGAGGTGAATTGCTGGATAAAATTCTCAGACAAAAATTTTTCTCTGAACGAGAGGCCAGTGCTGTCCTGTTCACTATAACCAAAACCGTTGAATATCTTCACGCACAAGGGGTAAGTCTTTTTAACACTCTACACACACATATGCACACACGCACACATACACACATTTTTTCTTTATGTTTGAGCTAAAATTACAAAGATAGAAGTTGCTTTATGCATGTAATGGAAAAAAGCTGCTATTAGCTGAATTATCCTACTGGTCTTCCTCTATGTAAACTTTTCTCATTGAGATGGAAGTGTTCCTTTGATATCCTAGCTTGTTTATGTTAAACTCCTGTGCTTCCAAGAAAAAGTAACTGATCTCTTCCGACCTGGAAAACATAGCATTGTGTCTGCTAGCTCACTCTGTACTCATGAAAACCAGGCCCACTTCAGGTTAGAAGCAGAAACAAGGAATCCTGGTTTGTATTCATGTATAAAAGGAAATCCTTAAAACAATGAGGTCAAGTAGTCACATGCTTCTGGCTGATGGATATGCTCTTCATTTCTTCTTGTACACAGATTTTTAGTAAACAGCAAAACGAGAAATCGTATTTCTAGGCTGGGCACAATGGCTCATTCCTGTAATCCAAATACTTTGGGAGGCTGAGGCTGGCAGATCACTTGAGATCAAGGGTTTGAGAAAATCATATTTTTAAAAGAAGGCAGCCGGGCATAGTGGTTCACTGTAGTCCCAGTACTTTGGGAGGCCAAGGCAGATGGATCACAAGGTCAAGAGTTCAAGACCAGCCTGGCCAAGATGGTAAAACCCCATCTCTACTAAAAATACAAAAATTAGCCAGGTGCAGTGGCAGGCGCCTGTAAGCCCAGCTACTCAGGAGGCTGAGGCAGGAGAATTGCTTGAACCTGGTGCAGCAGAGGTTGCAGTGAACTGAGATCATGCCACTACACTCCAGCCTGGACAACAGAGTGAGACTCTCTCTCAAAAACAAAAAAGAAAATCATATTTTTAAAAGAAGGCGGCCAAACATAGTGGCTCATGCCTGTAATCCAGCACTTTGTGAGGCCGAGGCAGCAGATCACCTGAGGTCAGGAGTTCAAGACCAGCCTGGCCAACATGGCAAAACCCTGTCTCTACTAAAAATACAAAAATTAGCCAGGCGCCATGGTGCACACCTGTAATCCCAGCTACTCGGGACGCTGAGGCAGGAGAATTGCTTGAAACCGGGAGGCAGAGATTGCAGTAATCTGAGATTGCGCCACTGCACTCCAGCCTGAGCGACAGAATGAGATTCTATCTCAAAAGAAAAAAAGGAAATCTGGGAGGAAAGGAGAAAATGAGGGGAGAGAGAGAAGAAAGGAGAATAGCAGAGGAGTGAAGAGGAATGGAAACAAGGGGAAAATAAACATTTTTTTTAAAGTTTTTAGTTGACGAGTTATATATATTTATGGTATGCAATGTGATGTTTTGATACATGTATATATAAAAGATTACTTTGTAAGGAGTTCAGTTTCAATACATTCTTCTTGTTTTGTCTTTGCCTCAAAAGCCAACAAGTAGAATGTGTTAATTCTAGCACTTCCAGACTTCTAACTTACCAAGATTTGTCTAGGATTATACCTTGAAATTAGTAGAACTCAGTATTCGCTGAGGAACTTTTGACCTTGCAGTCATCAAAGTCTTTTGTGTTCTTTTCCTAGTGCCTCATCAGTAATTCATTATTAAAGTAGTCTGGGAAAGTGATGTCCTGGATGTGAGGAACTAAATCTAATTTAATTGATTAGAACATAGACTCAGAATTTGATGATGGAAGGCACACTTAAGTCTAAAAAGGAATGTGAGAGAAGCTTATGATAAAAGAAGTAGAGTAGTCCCCTACTAATCTGCAATTTCACTTTCTGTGTTTTCAGTTACCCACAGTCAACCATGGTCCAAAAATATTGCAGCATTTTGAGAGACCACATTCACATAACTTTTATTACAGTATATTGTTACAATTGCACTACCTTATTAGTCATTGTTGTTAATCTCTTATTGTGCCTAATTTATAAATTAAACTATATTATAGGTATATATATCTAGGAAAAAATATATAGTTTGGTATTATCCTCAATTTTAAGAATCCAGTGGGGGTCTTGGGACATATACCTCACAGATAAGAGAGGGCTGCTGTACTCAGGTAGATCGTTAAAGGAGGAAAATAATACAGAACTCTAAAGAAAAGGTTTCTTTCTGCATGTTTAACATCTTGTATAACAAATAACCAATACCAAAAATAAAGTCCAGATTTGTTTTGGTTTTTTCCTTTTTACTCCTCAATGCCCTCTCTGTTATTTAGTCTATCAGAATGTATTTATTGTGTATGTACCTTGTACATGCTGTTCCTTCTAGTTAGAATGACTCACCCACTGTTCTTATGGCTCATTCATTCTGTTCTTCAGATACTGGATTAGATGTTACCTCATCTAGAGACCCTTCCTGTTACCCTATTTAAAGTGACCTCCCTAGTTATGCCCCATCTCTCAACCTGTCTGTTCTTTACTTCCCCCAGAACTGTGTAAGCTCCTAGCACGGAAAGGCCAGGATCTTTTGGGTCTTGTTTACCACAGTAGCTGCAGCAGCTTTTATAATACCCTGGTACATGGTAGACACTCAGTATTAAATGAGTGATCAATCCGGAGGTAGATACATTATTGCTGTTTGCATTCTTCTTTAACCCAGTTACTCAATCAGACAAAGAGGAAGGAGGTAAATACTATTCTTTCTTCCTCCTCCTCCTTGTCCCACGTCTATGTTAGAGAGTTATGGTTTATATTATCAGCATTTTATAATGTTGGGCTAATGTGAAGGTCAGCACTCATCATCTTGTTAAGTGCATTGCTTGACAGTTTGTGAATAAAGAACTTTCAGTAATGGAAATGCATTGTTAATATAACTCTTTAATTTGTATTTCAATTAGGTGGTTCATAGAGACTTGAAACCTAGCAACATTCTTTATGTGGATGAATCTGGTAATCCGGAATCTATTCGAATTTGTGATTTTGGCTTTGCAAAACAGCTGAGAGCGGAAAATGGTCTTCTCATGACTCCTTGTTATACTGCAAATTTTGTTGCACCAGAGGTAATTGTGAGAGAGTTTGCTTGCAGTGTTTTAGTAGGTTTTAAAACTCATTCCCTATGTTTCATACAGAATTATTAATAATCATTTAACTGAAGACTTGCTGAACAAATAATTAGGATAAAATGCCAGCCTTTCATTTCCCTGTTTAATGTTTCAGTGACATCTGATAGCCTACAGAAGAATCTCAATTTCCTAACAAGGTATTATAAAAGCCCTTGAGGCTGGGCACAGTGGCTCATGCCTGTTATCCTAGCACGTTGAGAGGCTGAGGCAGGAGGACTGTTTGAGGCCAGGAGTTTGAGATCAGTCTGGACAACATAGTGAGACCCCATCTCTACAAAAAATTTAAAAATTAGCTGGGCATGGTGCCATGCCTATAGTCTCAACTACCCAGGAGGCTGAGGTACGAGGATCACTTGACCCCAGGAGTTTGAGGTTGCAGTGACCCAAGATCACACCACTGAACTTCAGCTTGGGTGACAAAGCAAGAAGACCTCTCTTAAAAAACGAAAAAGCCCTTCAGTCTCTCTGGTATTCCCTACCCGAAGTTATAGACATACTGAACTTCTGGCCTATCTCTCAGCCTGCTCTGCTTTCTTCCCTATAGGTCCAATATAAGCAGGCGCCCTCCCGCCTTCTTTCTCTCCCCATGTCAAGAATAAATTGCTTCCTCATTTTCATACCTATAACATTTAAGACATGATTTGGGGTTCTTGTTTGTTTAAGGACAAGGTCTCGCTCTGTTGCCTAGGCCAGAAGGCAATCATAGCTCACTGCAGCCTTGAACTCCCCAGTTCAAGCAGTCCTCCTGCCTCAGCCTCTCAGGTAGCTGGGACTACAGGAGAACACCACTGTGCCTAGCGTCTTTTTAATTTTAATTTTAATTTTTAAATTTATTTATTATACTTTAAGTTCTGGGGTACATGTGCAGATCGTGCAGGTTTGTTACATAGGTACACACATGCCATGGTGGTGGTTTGCTGCATCCATCACCCCATCATCTACAGTAGGTATTTCTCCTAATGCTATTCCTCCCCAATCCCCCCACACCCTACTATTCCTCCCCTAGCCCCCCACTCCCCAGGCCCTAGTGTGTGATGTTCCCCTCCTTGTGTCCATGTGTTTTCATTGTTCAACACCCGCTTTGCAGAAAGTTGAAAATGGATCCCTTCCTTACACCTTATGCAAAAATTAACTCTAGATGGATTAAAGATTTAAACATAAGACCTAACACCATAAAAACTCTAGAATAAAATCTAGGAAATACCATTTTATTTTTATTTTTAAAGGTGAGGTCTTAGCCAGATGCCATGGTTCATGCCTGTAATCCCAGCACTTTGGGAGGCCAAGGTGGGTGGATCTCTTGAACTCAGGGGTTCGAGACCAACCTGGGCAACACGGTGAAATCCTGTCTCTACTAAAAATACCAAAATAAGCCAAGTGTGGTGGCACATGCCTGTAATCCCAGCTGCTTGGGAGGCTGAGACATGAGAATTGCTTGAATCCGGGTGACAGAGGCTGCAGTGAGCAAAGACAATAATAATAATAATAAAAAGAGTTCTTACCATGTTGCCCAGGTTGGTCTCAAACTCTTGGCTTCAAGTGATCCTTCCACCTTGGCCTCCCGAAGTGCTGGATACCAGGTGTGAGCCACCATACCCTACCCAGACTTGATTTTATTATAATATTTACCAAATTGAGTTAACTATTTTTATGTTTATTTCCCATCAAATTCTGTGGTTTTTTTTTTTTTTTAAGGAAATCAGGGTTTTTTGTATTTGTCATAGTTCCTACCTGATAAAAGTTGCTGATTTTTGTACTAGGTTATGTGTGTTCGTGTGTGTGTGTGTGTGTGTGTGTGTGTATGTGTGTGCTTTTAAAAGCATTTTTTGTAAATATTTCTGTAGCCCCAAACAAAATATAAATTCATTAAAATAAGAAAGATATCTTCAGTTTGTTTTATATTCCTGTGTGTCTATAACACTCAATAAATATTAATTTGAATACCAAAATTAAATTTATTTATAAATTATTCGTCATAGAATGTTCCAGAATAGGATTAATGTATTGCCTTATTTGGTAACCACGTACTGTTGAAATTTTCCTTATAGGTGTTGATTTGGAAGATATAATTCAGTTCATAGCCTGTCCAAATATATATACAAAATGGTGGTATAGTAATACTGAGATTTTACTTTTTCTAGGTTTTAAAACGACAAGGCTATGATGCTGCTTGTGATATATGGAGTCTTGGTGTCCTACTGTATACAATGCTTACCGGGTGAGTATATATATATATACACACCATATGTTCTAAGCACCTAAGCATTTGTGCATCAATATTTTGCTTAAGTTATCTAGGTTTTTGTTTTGTTTGGGAGCGTTTTTTGTTTGCTTGCTTTTTTCTTGAGAGGCAAGGTCTCACTCTGTTGCCCAGGCTGAAGTACAGTGACATAGTCATCGTTCACTGTAGCCCCAAGCTCCTGGGTTCAAGCAATCCTCTGACCTCAGCCTCCCAAATAAGAGTAGTAGGATTACAGGGGTATGCCATAACACCTGCCTGATTTCTTTATTTTTTTGTAGAAACAGGGTCCCGCTGTGCTGCCCAGGCTGGTTTCAAACTCCTGGGCTCAAGTGATCCTCCAGCTTTGGCCTCCCAAAATGCTGGGATTATAGGCATGAGCCACTGTGCCTGGCCTATGTAGGTTTTTTTTTTATCCAGATGTCATATCTTTCCATGTTTTCTCATGTTATCTAATATATACAATTCTTTAACAAGTCCACATTTATGGCTACATCATTACTGATTTTTATAATGTACTATTTATTAATGTATTGAGGTCCTAAATTGATTTTTTCCATACTTTTTTGTATTCTTGTCATCTCAGAAACATACACTGTTTCTTAGTATTTTATTCTATAATGTGCCGTGTCTCAAAATATATTATTATATATTAAGTCTAATTAGTATTTTATAGCCTATACCTTGACCTGGTACTTTATGGAGCTTTATTTAATTGAGTTTTTTCACTTTGGTAGATTTTAATAAAATATTACATTAACTTAATTAAAGTACTTTTGAGATTACCGACCAAATAAAAAATTGTATTCATTAATATTTTAATTTTATTATAAATTAGTTACACTCCATTTGCAAATGGTCCTGATGATACACCAGAGGAAATATTGGCACGAATAGGTAGCGGAAAATTCTCACTCAGCGGTGGTTACTGGAATTCTGTTTCAGACACAGCAAAGGTAAGTATGGCTTCTTATAAGCTTTTGAGAAAATAATTTTTTATGATCCATAGTGAGAAAAAATACTACCAGTTAGAAACTTTTGTTTATAAGTTAGTATGTTGAAGTAATGTTACCAAATAATGTGAACTCAAAAATTGACCCATTATTTTGTTTCTTTCCCAGCAGAGTTTGGTTTGGCCTTATTATTTGTACTTCTAAAACTGTTTCTCAGGCCGAGCGTGGTGGGAGGCCAAGGCGGGTGGATCACAAGGTTAAGAGATTGAGACCATCCTGGCCAACATGGTGAAAGCCCATCTCTAATAAAAATACAAAAATTAGCTGGGCGTGGTGGCGCACACCTATAATCTCAGCTACTTGGAAGGCTGAGGCAGGAGAATCGCTTGAACCCAGGAGGCAGAAGTTGCAGTGAGCCGAGATCGTGCCATTGCATTCCAGCCTGAGCAACAAGAGCAAAACTCCATCTCAAAAAAAAAAAAAAAAAGAAAAACTGTTTCTCACTGAAGAACATGATAAATTTTAACAGTGGTAGTCTTCATGATTTATCTGTCTATTGTGTGCCTCTTCACATGCCACTTTACCAAAATTATTTCATGTAATCCTTATAACACCCTGTGAAATAGGTGGTAGTATCCCCATTTCACAGGAAGAAACCAGAGCCCAGAATGTTAGTTTGAACTTGTCCATGTTATATACCAGGTGCTTCAAACGAAATATGACTCCACAGCCCTCATTCCCTAGAATAATTACACCATGTTCTATTTTTAATTTAGATTATGAAGAAAGGGGTTTCGGTTTTTTTCACAATAAACAGAGGTGTAGTTTTATAGTATCTTCATGAAATCATTTGAAGAGCCTTTCTCACTGGAAGATCTGCCATCCCCTGAATAGCACTGACTTGCTTTCCAACTCTGCTTTATTTTTACTTTTTTCATAGAGACTTCTTTAAAAGAAAAAAGAATTACGTTTTTTACTTCAAAATAAGAAAAGCAGAGTAGATAAAGAGGATACATGTTGGTAAAAGTGCATATTCTTTTTTCTTAGGGGTGAAAGCTTGAGTTGAGGTGATTGTATAAGTAAATAAAACACATAAAAAATGTATATAGATTCTGTTGGCATAGGGCCTGAAGCCTCAGTTAACTAGTTTAATGTCTGTATAGATAATATTTGGTTTTATAACTGCATTTAAAATGAAATGTTGGCCAGGTGCAGTGGCTCACACCTATAATTCTAGCACTTTGGGAGGCCGAGGCGGGCAGATTACTTGAGGTCAGGAGTTCAAAACTAGCCTGGCCAACATGGTGAAACCCTGTCTCTACTGAAAATACAAAAAATTAGTAGGGCATGGTAGCGGGTGCCTGTAGTCCCAGCTACTTGGGAGGCTGAGGCAGGAAAATCACTTGAACCAGGGAGGTGGAGGTTGCAGTGAGCCAAGAGCATGCCACTGCACTCCAGCCTGGGCAACAGAGAAAGACTCTGTCTTGGATGGATAGATGGATGGATGGACAGACGGTGTGTGGGAGCTGGCACCCTACAACAGACAGACAGATAGATAGATAGAAATGTTAGCCTTCACCTTTTTCTAACAATAAAATGTCTTAAACCAGATAATTTATTTCTCTGGGTACCTGTTTCTTTTGTAGTTCCCTTTTTGAGTCCCTTCATTTATTAATGTGCTTAATAAATGAAGGCCTTAGAGATAAAAGATGTGACGAAGATAGAATTCCCTGTCTCAGGTTGCTCACAGTCTAGTTGAGAGACAGCCAGAAATATACAGTACAGTGTCACATGTGCTGTAACAGTGGTACAATTTCGGTGCTAAAAAAGTTCACAGATGATGCTTAGTCAGAAGGATTTTAAGGAAAGCTTTCCAGAAGCAGTGAAGGAGTTTGCCAGGCAGATTTGGGGACCAGAAAGATGTAGTCCCAAGCTGAGGGATCAGCACATGCAGATAGGTGGTGATGATTACATTGAGAATAGCAGAATGCCTCCAGGCTGGTCATTCCATGTGACTAGTGCAGGGTGCGGGGTAGAGGGGAGCTGATGAACCCAGATTGGGAAACGCTTTGTGCCTCCTACACAGGATTGTAGGCCTAACTCTGGGTATTGTGGAGCTGTTAAAACATGTTAAGCAGTGCAGTGATCAGATTTTCCTTTTTTTTTTTTTTTTTTTTGAGATGGAGTCTCGCTCTGTCACCAGGTTGGAGTGCAGTGGCACAGTCTCAGCTCGCTGCATCCTCTGCCTCCTGGGTTCAAGTGATTCTCCTGCCTCAGCCTCCAAAGTAGCTTGGACTGCAGGCACGAACCACATGCCTGGCTAATTTTTGTATTTTTAGTAGTGGCGGGGTTTCACCATGTTGGCCAGGATGGTCTGAATCTCTTGACCTTGTGATCCGCCCGCCTCAGCCTCCCAAAGTGCTGGGATTACAGGCATGAGCCACCACACCACGCCTGGCAGATTTTCCTTTTTTTGAGATGGAGTCTCGTTCTGTTGCCCAGGTTGGAATGCAGTGGCATGATCTCAGCTCACTGCAACCTCCGCCTCTCAGGTTCAAGTGATTTTCCTGCCTCAGCCTCCTGAGTAGCTGGAATTACAGATGCACGCCACCACATCTGGCTAACTTCTATATTTTTAGTAGAGACGGGGTTTCACCATGTTGGTCAAGCTGGTCTCAAACTCCAGACCTTGTGATCTGCCCACCTCAGCCTCCCAAAGTGCTGGGATTACAGGCGTAAACCACTGCGCCCAGCCCAGACTTTCCTTTCTAAAAGTGCATTCTGTGGAGCAGTAAGTAATTCTTAGCTATGGAGTCTACCACAAACTTTGTCATGATAGGTTGGGAGGTATATTAAGTAATGTTACCAATAATAAAATATCAGAGCTTACACAATTGATTTTTTAATAAGTTAAAGCAAGTTGAGGTTATCACTATGATTTTATTCATTCACTTGCTTTCTGGTATGCTTTTTTGGTGAGAGAGAAAGGGCAGGTAAGGATGGAGACATGGAGCACAAATAAATTACATCCAACTCACAGCCTATCTTATAGACTCCATGTTATTACTAGTAACTGTTACTAATATGTACCATTAAGACTTGTGATTACAAGCATGATATAATTCCATGATTAGCCACAAGATAGAAGGGAAGGCTCTGACTGGGCGCAGTGGCTCAAACCAGTAATCCCAGTACTTTGGGAGGCCAAGGTGGGTGCATCATGAGGTCAAGAGATCGAGACCATCCTGGTCAACATGGTGAAACCCCGTCTCTACTAAAAATACAAAGAATTAGCTGGGCATGGTGGCGCACGCCTGTAATTCCAGCTACTCAGGAGGCTGAAACAGGAGAATTGCTTGAACCCAGGAGGCGGAGGTTGCAGTGAGCCGAGATCGCGCCATTGCACTCCAGCCTGGTAACAAGAGCGAAACTCTGTCTCAAAAAAAAAAAAAGAAGGGAAGGCTCTATCAATCTGGGTATATGCCCTCAAGAGCAAGTTACACATGTGAGTGTTGTCAGTCATGTGGGTCATATGTGGCTTTGAGAACAAGAAGACCACAGCTGGCATTTACTGAGCATTAATGTGCCAGGGACTATGTTAACACTTTTACCTATGTTGTTTCATTCAGGCCTCACTGACCTAATTTTAAGAACAGTACTTGTAAGGTTTTGCAATATTTCAGGTCATGAATGATGAGGGCCTACACTAGAGCAGTTGTGATGGAATTTGAGCTAAATGGAAGAGAAATTGAGGAGGCAAAATAGACTTGATGGTTTATTATACATAAGAAATGAGAGAGAAGCAGGTATAATGTATGTAGTCCCCAGTTCTACCTTGGGCAGATGGATGAGGAGTGGTATCCTTCACTGATTTGTATTGAGAGGAGTGGTGGTTGCAGATTTGACATTATGAATTAGGAGATGTATGTGCATCAGGCAACTGTCTATATAGTTACATGTCTTAAAAGAGAAATCTGGGGTGACGCTTAAGAGTTGTCATCATTCATAGTAGCTAAAGCCATGAATATGAATGAGATTATCTGAGCAGGGTGGTGAGAGAGCCAAGGAAGGAATTCCAGAGAGCACTGCTTAAAGAGAAAGCTTAAGAGGAATAGCCATTAAAGGGGTGGCAGTAAGAGAAGCAGTTTGAAGTGAGTTTGCCAAAAGTTCATTAGCATACAGATTTGATTAAAATTATAATTGAGTTTTGTTGTACCTGGACAATTTTGCAACATTTCATGCAATTTTAAGCATTTTTGCCTACTTTCAGAATTGCCAAAGGGAGGTTCCTATTTTTTTGTTTTTTTACTTTTTACTTCCAGCTGTGTTCAGTTGCTTATCCCTGTTAGCTGTTAATAACTAAAAGTAAGAAACCATAAATGTTTCATAGCAGAGGAGTACCTGGGACAACATCACCCCAGTTTCAAAGATCTGGTCAACTACCAGATTCTCTCAGTTCTTTATCCTAAATACCTCAGTTCCATCCATTTTTCTCCTTTTTTTTTTTCTTTTTTGTGAGTCTCACTCTTGCCCAGGCTGGAGTGCAGTGGTGCAGTCACAGCTCACTGCAACTTCGAACTCCTGGACTCAAGCCATCCTCCTGCCTCAGCTTCCTGAACAGCTGGAAACTACGGGCATGCACCACCATGCCCAGCTAATTTTTTAATTTTTTGTAGATGGATGGTCCCACTATGTTGCCCAGGCTGGTCTCCAACTCGTGGACTCAAGTGATGCTCCCACTTTGGCCTCCCGACGTGCTGGGATTACAGGCATGAGCCACCATGCCCGGCCCAGCCCAGTTTTCTCCGTCTCATACACCTCCGTGAAGCTGTCATCTTTCACCAGTTCATTTTCCTCCACACTCAGTGAGTGTGATCTATTTAACCACATCACTCCCTAACTTTAAATACCTTATTGCCATCAAATTAAGTCCACATTTGCAAATATGGTTTACAGGGACTTTCCTGGTCTGGTCTCTTCTCACCTCTCCCACTTTATCCACTGCCACATTCTCCTTGACAGTAAATTTATGATTCAGCCGCATTGTACTCCTGCCACAGTTCCTTAACTGTGACATCTCTCTCACCTGAGGGCTTTCCTCCAAACTCACTCTCCATTCTCTCCATTCTATCTACGCTACCTGAAGCAGTGTTTCCCCCTTTGTTTCTCTAATCCAGCTCCTGCTTATCCTACAGGTCTTAACTTCCTCTTAAAGAGTCACTGTTAAGCCACCTTGCCCAGTTCAGATCAGGTATCTCTTTGTCCCTCTAGCTACACCTGGTATTTGTTCATCCTGTCAAAGAACTTATTTGCTTTGTGATTGATTCTTTGCCTCTCCTTCACTGAACTGAAAACTTCATGAAGTTAGAATTCATTTTGTTTTTTATTATTTGTTTGCTTGTTTGTTTGAGACAGGGTCTCACTCTACTGCCCAGGCTGGAGTACAGTGGCTCAATCATGGCTCACTGCAGCCTTGACCTCCTGGGCTAAAATTATCCTCCCACTTCAGCCTCCCAAATAGCTGGGACCTCAGGCATATGCCACCACACTCAGCTTTAAAAACTAAAATTGTAGGCCAGGCGCGGTGGCTCACGCCTGTAATCCCAGCACTTTGGGAGGCCGAGGAGGGCAGATCACAAGGTCAAGAGATCGAGAACATCCTGGCCAACATGGTGAAATCCTGTCTCTACTAAAAATACAAAAAAATTAGCTGGGTGTGGTGGCATGCACCTGTAGTCCCAGCTACTCGGGAGGCTGAGGCAGAACTGCTTGAACCCAGGAGGCGGATGTTGCAGTGAGCCAAGGTCGCGCCGCTGCACTCCAGCCTGGCGCCTGGTGATAGAGTGAGATTCCGTCTCAAAAAAAAATAAAATAAAATTGTAGAGACAAGGTCCCACTATGTTGCCTAGACTTCATTTCTGTGTTGTTCACTGCTAACTACCCAGTGCCTAGCAGAATGCCTGGCCTTTAATGGATACTTACCAAATGTATTTTGAATGAAGAATTTTTAAAATGGTGGCTTTTATAAATGACAGTTGTGTTATTTCAAAGAGTGTAAAACCATGTGGCGATTATATGCGTCTATATTCTGTGCATAGGAATGGCATGTAGATAGATATGCAGTGCTAACAGTGACTTGTCTCTGGAAGAGTGGGATTGTGGTGTTCCTCATGTGCTTTCACTTTTCCTGTATTTTCTGATTACTCTCTAATGCCCATGAGTTGCTTTTGAAGTAGGAAGAAAAAAAAAGGAATACTATAATCTTTTCAGGGGCATTTAGAGCCCTCCAATTAAATTCCTATTATTGGACATTCATGTTGTTTTTTAGTATTACCAGAAACACACCAAAAAAAATCTTAAGTAGCTGAATATTACTTAAAAATAAACTAGCCAGGGACGATGGTTTGCACCTGTAATGCTAGAACCTTAGGAGGCTAAAGCAGGAGTAACACTTGCATCCAGGAGACCAGCCTGGGCAACATGGTGAAACCCCATCTCTACTAAAAATACAAAAGTTAGCACACACCTGTAGTTCCAGCTCCTCAGGAGGCTGAGGTGGGAGGATCACTTCAGCCCAGAAGACAAAGATTGCAGTGAGCCAAGATCACACTCCAGCCTAGGCGACAGAACGAGACCCTGTTTCAATAAATAAATAAATAAACCTACAAAAATATCAGAAACTGAGAAAATCTGAAGGAAAAAAGAGCCAGAGTACTTAAAGATACATAAAATGTGCTCAACTGACCCCTTGTAATGCACCAAATTACTATTAGCAGGGGAAAAAAAACAGACTTATTTTGTTTTTTTCCCAAAATTACCATGTTGACCAAAGGGGCTGTTACCAGTAAAAGTAGTGTCATAGAAGCTAAGAAAGAATGTTCATTCATATCAAGAGCCATAGAAAAAGAAGCAAAACAGGCTGGGTAGGCGTGGTGACTCATGCCTATAATCCCAGCACTCTGGGAGGCCAAGGTGGGCAGATCACCTGAGGTCAGGAGTTCGACACCAGCCTGGCCAACATGGTGAAACCCCGTCTCTACTAAAAATTCAAAAAATAAGCCTGGTGTGGTGGTTTCGTGCCTATAGTCCCAGCTACTCCGGAGGCTGAGACACGAGAATTGCTTGAACCCAGGAGGCAGAGGTTGCAGTGAGCTGAGATCATGCCATTGCACTCCAGCCTGGACAACAGAGTGAGCCTCTGTCTCACAAAAAAAGAAAAGAAAAAGAAGCAAAACAAAAGGTTTAAGCTTGTTTTATTATTATTCCCATTACAGGACCTTGTGTCAAAGATGCTTCATGTAGACCCTCATCAGAGACTGACTGCTGCTCTTGTGCTCAGACATCCTTGGATTGTCCACTGGGACCAACTGCCGCAATACCAACTAAACAGACAGGATGCACCACATCTAGTAAAGGTGAGTGGCCCCATACAGTCACTGTTTTCCACATGTCCTCCAGGAGAGACTTCAAGAAGCCTGTCCGTGCCCCCAGCACCTTTCTCTTTCATCCTGCATCCAGTTCTGTTGTGGGATTCTCTTACAGTGGGTGACTTAGAAAAGCTCAAGGCATGTCAATATATTAGTAATAAAATGAGTTTAAGAGCGACTTCTGATTTCTCTTAGTCTGCATAAGTAGGTATTCACTAATAAAGACAGATTAAGGTTATGGATTTCCCAACTTAAAGAGCATGCCTTGCTGCCTCTTTAGTTACTTTATGCATTAAAGGAGTGCAAAGAGAAAAAATTTTGAATAGTCCTGAGAAAAATGAGGACTGCCTATTATGAGCCTATCTTTGTTCTCTCTCATACCTAATTTTAACCTCCCACATTGGCCTCTACAGTTTTGGTTAAGTCAGTAGATTTGAGCAGTGTGGTTATTTTCATTACGAACCAATTAAAATCTATATACATTGAGTATGAATAAATTATTGGAAAAAACTCTTCATTTTGTATTTGTGTACATGTGACTCTCCGTTGTCATTTTTGTTATTATCTTTATTTCCTTTGTTCAGGGTGCCATGGCAGCTACATATTCCGCTTTGAACCGTAATCAGTCACCAGTTTTGGAACCAGTAGGCCGCTCTACTCTTGCTCAGCGGAGAGGTATTAAAAAAATCACCTCAACAGCCCTGTGAAGTGACCTCAGTGAGATATTTGGTACCATGGTGTAAGCTGATAGCACAAGTTCTGGCGACAGGTAGCACATATCTGAGAGACACCTGCAAGCACACACTGTCCCAAGTGGTACCCATAATGCTGCTGCTCCTGCTGCTGCTCCTGCTTTCGTCTCTTCTCGCTTTAAATGATTGTTAGCAAGTTAGATTTTCCTGGAGCTTCGGATGAAATGAAAATGGAAACATGATGAAGATATAGTCACTGAATCAACAAGAAAAATAATGAACATATGAATACCACCTAAAAATACACTGAATAAAGTACACCATATAGCATTATTTTTATAGGAAATATTTCATGTCCCTTAAATATTCTTTGTTAGTTATAGGGATGGACAGTTTATGTTAAGCACTTAGCTTAAACAATCCGTTTATATTAGCACTGTATCCCTTGTGCCATCCAACATTTTGTATGTTTTTGTAAACAATTCATATACAGTACATTTCTGTACTGCTTTCTTTAATGTATACATGCCTTGTTTAACTTGGAATCTATTATTATTAATCAATTGACTATTAAATCTGGTTAAATAGTTCACCTGGATTAACAGTATTGTTGGACAGCCCTAAAAATGGCCAGATTGTGGAACAGCTGTTGAATGTAATACTTCCAAAATGTACATATCTTTCCCCATGTCTGTTTCACTGGTTCATTCATTTGTTTGTTTCTTAAAGTCAGGTGCTCTGTCAGACTAACCTAGAGAGCCGTTACAGTAGAGAAAGTTATCATATGTGTATGGCATGAACTCAAGAATACACCTATTTAAGTTAGTCCATATACTTTGCAACTCCTTAGAGTTCCTTTTCCCTTAATTAAGGAAGTAGTCCTTGCACTTTTAATCTTACATAGCATCCGTACTTAGAATTTGGTATATCATTTGGGATTTTGCCAATATACATCAAAGCCCTTTAAGAGTCATGGTAAAGAGATTGGTGAAGGAAAATTTAGCAACAGGAGATTGAAGTCCTATTGGATATTTCATGTTTAAATAGATATTCTATATTAAACACTAATTTGAACGTAATAAAGGCCAAAGGCCTCTATATGAAATTGAATTTAAACTTTCTTATTTTAGGGATTAAAACATTATTGATCAAACAGTATCTGTACTAACCTAAAATTAGAGGTAGGGCAGGCTAAGTGAACATTCGGCATTGAGTGTTTTCTGAATTCCCCATGATAATTTATAGCCATATACTGCTTCCTTTGACTTCAGGAATGATCAGGTTTTATGACAGCCACTGGGTCTGCTTATATCACTGTATTCATTATCTGCATCTAATTTGGTAGTTTCTACAATTTTATCTGGTGAAAGAAACTTCAGTAGCCATTGTTACCTGGGTCTTTGCCAAGCTACCTAGCATACATCAACATTTAATGTAAAAGACATATGAGCAAGGAAAAAGTGGTTTAATTTACCTTATTAAGAAAGTACCCAAATGGGCCAGGCACGGTAGCTCACACCTGTAATGTAATTTTAACACTTTGGGAGGCCGAGGCAGGTGGATCACCTGAGGTCAGGAGTTTGAGACCAGCCTGGCCAACATGGCAAAACCCAGTCTCTACTAAAAAATATAAAAATTAGCCGGGCGTGGTAGCACACACCTATAATCCCAGCTACTCAGGAGGCTGAGGCAGGAGAATTGCTTGAACCTGGGAGGTGGCAGTTGCAGTGAGCCAAGATCACACCATTACACTCCAGCTTGGGAGACAGAGTGAAACTCTGTGTCAAGGAAAAACAAGAATGTCCCCATACGGATTTTTCGTAGTCATGTACTAAGCCATGTATATCAGAAACCTTTTTTCCTGCCAGAAGCTTTAAATTTTCCCTTAAGAGTACAAAGCCAAGAGACTGTGGTTTATCTAAATGTCCTAAAATCCACTTGTCATTCCTTAATTTCTCCTCTATGCAATTAAAGAGAAAGGGAAAATCTATAACGTTTCTTTTGCCCAAGTGACACAAAAATGATTATTGCATAGAAATCAAATGTAAGTTTAGTTTCTAAATGAAAAACGTATAAGAGGGATATCAGAATATCTAGATAGAGAAAGTATTTTAATGTTCTTGAATATATGGATGCTAACTATTTAAAGCTGCTTTCCATTGCTTGGAAAGAGAGCTTTTTTCCCTCCTCTATTCAGTGTTTCAAATTATGGTTCATCTCAAATTATTGTCACTTTTAAAATGTTAATGTCATTCTGAGCAGAAAGAAAACATGTGTTTTCAGATTTTTTACACTGATGCTACTCCATAATTGCTTAAGTGTATTGTCATCATAGTCTTTTAGAACTAGAAGTAAACACATAAATCCTTGTGAATTACTCAGTCCAACTTTCTCATATTGCATGTAAATAACCTGAGACAAAGTCTAGAATCCTTAACTTCTCCCCATTTAAGGTTTTTTTTTCCTCATAACACCATGCTGCCTTTCCTTCATATCACCAACCAGTAGCTGAGTTCAAAAACTATATATTTCTTGGGCAGTCCTCTACTGGTATATGATGCCAACTTTATTTCTTTCAAAGATAATTGCCGCCTTTGCCTAGTCAAGCAGCCAGTTTTATTGGAGAAAAGCAAGTTATATGTTCACAAAATGGAAGGCTTTCTACCTACATTTATTTCATCTATGGTTCTGGTGTTCCCTTCCATTGCTTTTGACGTACAGTCAAAAAAACTTGGCCAACAATGTGCTCTAAATATAGTGCTTGTTCTGAGTTAATTTTTCCATTAATTTCTCAACATCAATTCTTCAGTCCCCTACAGTTGTGGTATTGAGGCCCCTGAAGGCTTCTGCCTTTCACCAATTAGTGCTGCCAGTTACTGGGGCTTCTCTCAGAAGGTATCAGTCCACAAGCCTCCTCTTAGTCTCTAATCCAAAATAATATCCAAAGCGAGAGATTGAATTAACCTTGTCAAGCACATACTGGAAAGTATGAATTACACTACCATGTGTTCGTATCTTCCTTTCAAGTGATGATGTTAATGAAGGTAAGTTTTCATCCTTTTTTAATTTTTGTTTTTTATAAATCGTTTCAGCTTTTTCTGGTTTATAGAGGTGTCTTCTTTCTAATGCAACAGACCCCTGACTTTAACTGATTTGATACGGATGCGTTAATTACAAGCAACCTCAAAAGTCCAAAAATGGAATAATTTTGACAAGGCCCAAAGTTGAAATGCTATGAAGCTTGTGTGTTTGAAAAGTCACTGATGATTATCTGGAGAGAAGGTGTGGTGTGTATGCTGTAGAGTTTCCACATTTCACATGCAGTGCACTCCAAAAAGCGGGTTTGGGTCAACCATTTCCCATCTCTTTTTAAGACGTGACTGCTCTTGGGGCAGGGAATATGATGGGAGGTGAGGCTGTCCAGTAAGCTGTGCCCTGCACCTTCAGCCCAGGAAAGATTTGAACAGAGGGTAGGTGGGTGCAAAGGCTTAAAGAAAGAGCAGAATGTATTGGCAGGAAAGGGACTGGGGTAAGCCCAGCCTGGGGTGAGAGCAGAAAAGCATTCAAGATTTGCAGGCCTTGCTAAGGTTGTGCTTAATCACCATGGAGGCCAGCAATACACATCTTAACATCGCTTTGATATTCTCTACTTCCTGGCCTTCAAAAATGACCTATAATTTTTCAGTTTGCTTCATATTATATAAAGAAAATTCTATCTTATGGTTGATTGAGCATTGAGACTTATGAAGGCATTAGGGTAAATAGCTCAGGAATGTAAAGGTTCAGAAAAGGTCTGTTTTCTCAGATTAACAAATACAATGTATTCCATGGCTGACCTTGGTGCTTAAATCAGGAGGTTTCAATCTGGTTCTAGAGTTCTGGTCCTCTGAAAGGCCCAATGCCATGTGACTAACTTTAAACTGGATATACACTTTGAGCCTTACTTAATTCACAGATAAGTTGACTTAACTCAGTATTTTTATTTCAATTAATGAAAATAGTCCTCTTTTCAACCCCAGGTTGCTTACATTTTGCTGGTCTCCCCAAGTGACCATTGGTGGGGACCAATTAATGAAGGAATGAAATTCACTTTCTTGGGACTGTGGTATTCTACAGAGCCACACTTAACCACTTTTTCCAATGAAGAATCTCCAGAATGATAATGCCCAAATATGGATGACCAAGAAGAATTTGTATCTACAGTGTGCTTTATGTATTTTTGACACTGCTGTATTCTGTGTGATCAAGTGATTTGCAACTGGTTCCAATGTGACAGGGTTCTCAAAGAATTCTAGTAACTAAGTCAATTTTCTTAAGCCTGGTATTACTGTCAGCCTCACATTTACCACTTTGATTCTAGTTTTTTAACTGTTCATAACAGGGCATACCAAGGGTTGGGATGAGAGCCTACTTCCTACCTCTTAAGGCACTTTCCTCATTATTTTGCCATATAATCTTGAAGTACGTGATACGCTGTTTAAATGTCCACAATTTCTCTCAGAGCAACTAGCAAAGTATATTACATTTTGATTAGAGATTAGTGGAAAGGAAAATTTAGAGATTTAAGTTCAGAGGTACAAACCTCAAGAAAACCTCTTTAGAGCACATACCGTGAGTAGAGTATATGTAAGTGTATATGGGAAGAGAGTCGCTATAATAGTCCTCTCTAAGTAGATTAGTTCATTGTCTGATGGAAGTGAACATCTTCACTCCTATTATCACTATAGTACTGAATGAACTGTATACTGAGTTTTTCAAACAAGTATTTAAAATAGAACTTTTACCTACAAAGCAAGGGCATAAAGATAAAGATTTTGGTTTGTGTTTCTATAAGTGTAGTTTACCACCTAAAACTTTGTTTTTTAATTTTTAAAAAAAGCTTCAAGGTATTGCCATTCCTTAGCATCTTTATTCATTATGGGTGATGAGTTTTTAACTCTTAAAATTATATACATGTATTAGTTAATCTTAACCATTGCCCTAAGCAAAAGGGAAGGTATACACCTAAGGGATGTACTTACTCTGCATTTTTGGCCAAGGGTGGGAATGGGGTGGGTGCCTACTTAAATAGTTTTTAAAAAAGAAAAAAATCACAAATATTTTTCTACTATTATATATGATCTTCCTTTATACTAGTTTCCCTCTAGTAAGGCATGCCAGAAGCCCAAGATACCATATCATGAATTCTTAACATATTGTACCTTTTGTTGGTGGTTAAATCGCATCAGATGCTTGGCATTGCTGCCATAATTATGAAATGCTTGTAAAGGATCAAATATCACTAAATACTTTAAATTGTTTTACTTAAGAGTCTAATCTGGGAAGTTTTCAAATCATACTATTAATGTGTAATCTAAGCTCTTCCGATGTATCCATGAATAATCCTGGAACAATATTGCTTGTACTCCTGTCATAGAACAGGTTTTGTAATCTTTAAAAGAAATGAAAATTTATATAATAAAGTTTCAAATCAATGCATGTTTGTCCCTTTTATCAGATTATTTTGGTCATATAATCCTTTATAATATGAAATTCTGTCCAAATTATATTGATGCAATTAGATTGATAGAACTTAAAACAGGAATATTTGAGTTAAGAAGTGCAAAATAATTTTTCAGTGCATAATCTTGTTTCATTCAAAGGGTTTGTCGAGTCAAACACATAAATCATAGCTCTTACCCAATACCAAACTTTAATGAATTAAAGGATATGGGATGATCACCAGACACAGATGAAACATTCTTTTAGAGAAGTCCAAAATGTTACCGTCCAGTTCCAAAAATGCCCTTTTTCTCTCCCAGTACACTTTGGATTCAAACTTAAAGGACAAGTTATTTTCTGGGCGTTGTATGTCGAGACCTTGTTCAAACAAAGGGAGTCATTTAATTTTGCAACATCTCCTTTTTATACTTCATTATGCAGTTTAAATGAGCCCTCATTCTCCAGCCAGTCATTACTCACAAATCCACAAATCCCAAGTTTTACAATAAACCATCTATAAAGACCAAGTATATCTTGCTAAAAGCATTTTAGAGTTAAGGACTTTCCATTTTCTCTCTGGTAATAAATATCAGCACATCTTAGAGGAAATTTGATTGAGGTCATTGATTCTTGGTGAGAGAGAATGGGTTATACAGGCCTGAAGTTAGCCTCTTCTTGCCCAGTTGACATTTCTTAGTAGTTCCATACTATGAAATACCACACATTGAGTGACTTAATCAAAATTGATTTTCTCAGTTCTGGAGGCTGGAGGTCCAAGACCAGGGTGCTTGTAGGGTTGGGTTCTTTAGAGACCTCTTTCTTGGGCTTACAGGTGGCTGCCCTCTTGCTGCCTCTTCACATGGTTGGTCCTCTGTGCATGTGCAGCCATGGTATTCCTTTTTTTTTATAAGAATACCAGTCATATTGCATTAGAGCCCCACTCTAACAGCCTCATTTTAATTCAGTCACCTTTAAAGACCTTACCTCCAAATACTGTTACATTCTCAGATACTGGGTGTTGGGACTTCAACATAAGAATTTGGGGAAGAGGCCAGGCGCAGTGGCTCACGCCTGTAATCCCAACACTTTGGGAGGCCTAGGCGGGTGGATCACGAGATCAAGAGTTCAAGACCAGCCTGGCCAACATGGTGAAACCCTGCCTCTACTAAAAATACAAAAATTATCTGGGTATGGTGGCGTGTGCTTGTAATCACAGCTACTCGGAAGGCTGAGGCAGGAGAATTTCTTGAATTTCTTGAACCGGGAAGTAGAGGTTGCAGTGAGACAAGATTGAGCCATTGCAATCCAGCCTGGGTGACAGAGACTCCGTCTAAAAAAAAAAAAAAAGGATTTGTAGAAGATATAATTCAGCCCATAACAGCTGGTTTAGGGGGTATCCACTTGGATTTAGGTACTTGAGATAAGATGGCAATCTTCAAGGTCTACTTGGCATTATGCTGAGGCAAGGTAGGAATGTTAATTATATTTGCTTTCTACCATTTTTGTAACCAATTACCACAATGTAGTGGCTTAAAACAACACAAATTTGTTATCTTACAGCCCTGGAGATCGGAAGTCCAATGCAGGTCTCACTAAGCTAAAATCAAGGTGTCAGCAGGGCTGCTGTGTGCCTTTCTGGAGGCCCTAGGCAAGAATTGATTTCCTTGCCTCTTCCAGTTTCTAAAGGCTGCATTCCTTGACTTATGGCCCATTCCTGTATTTTCAAAACCACCAACAGTGGGTCAAGTCCTCTCCACATGCATCTCTCTGCCCCTTCTCTTCTGCCTCTTTAAGGACTCATGTGATTAGATTTCACCTACACAGGTAAATGGAGGATAATCTCTCCATCAGGGTCAACTGATTAGCAACATTAATTGCATCCGAACCTTTAGTTCCCTGTTGCCATGTGAGATAACATATTCACAGATTCCAGGGATTTGGACATGGACATCTTTGAAGTTCATTAGTCTGCCTACCATGATTAATGATTACAGAAACACCTGGCTCCTCAGACAGACTGACATAGAGTAGCAGTATTGGCCATGGTCAGGCTTCTGCAGCTTTATATTAATGTACCCTGAAATGACAGAATTGGCACATCTAAAAAGCTAGGAAAAGGAAGTGCAGGATGCTGTAGGAATATGTAGCAAGGTTGCCTAGGACAGAACTTCTAAGGAAACAATTATTAATCTGACACCTAAAAGGGCAAGGGAGAAGGGTAGAATAGAATGTATAGAAATTCAGAATTAGAGGCACTCAAAAGTTCTGTATGACTAGAACTTAAAATGTAAGAGAAGAAGCAAGATATGAGGCTCAAGAGATAAGCAGGAACCAGATAATCAAAGGCATAATAAATCATATGAAGGAATTTGAATTTTATCCCTTTGGGGTTTCCCCCACAGTCCCCAGTCTTTGTATCCTTTTCTATCCAGACTGAATCTCATGGCCCTATAACTGATAATCTGGAACTTCTCTCAGAAGCACCCAAAACTTCCTTATATCTTTCCCTTATTCTGCACCCACTGAGCAAAAAATCTCCAATTCTGGATCATTTTGGTTAATGATTGTATGTAGTGAGCTATTGTATGGAAGAAATGTAACCACCCAATGGATTAACTTTGCTCTGCCTAGACAGAGCCAATTTATCAAGACAGGAGAAATGCAATAAAGAGAGTAATTCACACAGAGCCAGCTGTACAGGAGACTGGAGTTTTATTATTACTCAAATCAGTCTCCCTGAGCACTGGGGAATCAGAGTTTTTAAGGATAATTTGGGTAGGTAGAGGGGCCAGTGAGTCAGGAGTGCTGACTGGCCAGGTCAGAGATGAACTCATAGGGGGTTGAGGCTGTCCTCTTTCAATGAGTCAGTTTCTGGGTGGGAGCCACAAGATCAAATTAGCCAGTTTATTGATCGGGGTGGTGTCAACTGATCCATCAAGTGCAGGGCCTGCAAAATATATCAAGCAATGATGTTAGGCTTTACAATAGTGATGTTATCCCCAGGAGCAATTTGGGGAGAGTCAGAATCTTGTACCGGCTGCATGACTCCTAAATCATAATTTTCTAATCTTTTGGCTAATTTGTTAGTCCTACAAAGGCAGTCTAGTCCCCAGGCAAGAAGGGGATTAATTTTGGGAAAGGACTGTTATCATCTTTGTTTTAAACTATAAACTAAGTTTCTCCCAAAGTTACTCCAGACTATGCCCAGGAATGAACAAGGACAACTTGGAGGTTAGAAACAAGATAGAGTTGGTCAGGTCAGATCTCTTTCACTGTCTCAGTTACAATTTGGCAATGGTTTCAAAAATCATACAATTATGCAAACTGCCACTGCAAATTTATGTTTTCTAATCTCATCTAAATCCTCAGTACCATTTGTCAACTATTTTGTTTTTCCTTAGATCCATCTCCTATTTCTTTTTTTAAGCTTTACTGAGATATAGTTTACATGCCATAAAGTTCACCATTTAAAGTGTACAATTTAATGTTTTTTAGTATAGTATTTATAGAGTTGCGCAATCATTATCATAATGTAATTTCAGAAAGTTCTTACCATCCCAAAAAGAAATTTTGTACCCTAGTCCAAGCCACAGCTGTCTTTTGTTTGGACTGTTACAGTAGCCTCCTGTGTGGTTTCCATTTCCACCCTTGTCCCCTACAGTCTGTTCTTAACACAGACACCAAAATTATCTATTTAAAAACCTACTTACTGAAAGACCGGGCATAGTGGCTTATGCCACTGTGAGCCTCCCAGCACATTGGGAGGCTGAGGCGGGCGGATCACTTGAGGTCAGGAGTTCGAGACCAGCCTGACCAACATGGCGAAACCCCATCTCTACTAAAATACAAACATTAGCCGGGCATGGTAGCACATACCTGTAATCCCAGCTACTTAGGAAGGCTGAAGCGAGAGAATCACTTGAACCCAAGGGGCGGAGGTTGCAGTCAGCGGAGATCATGCCACTGCACTCCAGCCTGGGCGATACAGTGACACTCCGTCTCAAAAAAAAAAAAAAAAACCTACTGAAGATTACAAGTGATCTGGCCTCTTTACTTCTCCGATCTCATCTCTTCCAAACTCTTCCCTTGGCTCAATTCATTCTAGCCACACTGGCCTTTCTTTTCTTCCTTCCTTCTTTCCTTTCCTTCATTATGTTCTTCCCCCCTTCCTTCCTTCCTTCCTTCCTTCCTTCCTTCCTTCCTTCCTTCCTTCCTTCCTTCCTTCCTTCCTTCTTTCATGGCATCTGACTCTGTTGCCCAGGCTGAAATGCAATGGCACGATCATAGCTCACTGCATCCTCAAACTCCTGGGCTCTAAGGATCCTCCTGCCTCAGTCTCCCAAGTGTCTGGGACTACAGACATGAACCACCATGCCTGGCTAACCTTTTTATTTTCATGTGTTTATTTTTTTTAATAGATGGCCAGGGGGTGGTGCTCACTATATTTCCTGGGCTGGTCTTGAACTCCTGGCCTCAAGTGTGATCCTCCCACTTCAGCCTCCTGAGTCACTGGGATTACAGGTGTAAGCCTTTGCGCCTGCCTGACTTCTTGCTATTCCCTGCATACGCCAAGCATGCTCCCACTCAGGGCCTTTGCCCTTGCTGTTCTCTCTCCTTCCAAGTAATTAAGATGATCAATCAGATGGGGAAACCATCCTACAGTAGAGAAACGAAATCTGATTTTTTTTCTCCTTTGAGGTTTTATACTGGGTAATTGGCAGAGACTTTTTATTTTTACACATTTAGAGTTCCAGACTCTTAGAGTCTAACTACTTACCATGTACCAGACACAATTGCTAAACACCAAATGCATTGCATTATATCAATTTAATTCCTGCAACAACCTAATGTGGTAAGTACTATTTCTTTTTTTTTTTTTTTTTTTTTTTTTTTTTTTTTTTGGTTGAGATGGCGTTTCACTCTTGTTGCCCAGGCTGGGGTGCAGTGGTATGATCTCAGCTCACTGCAACCTCTGCTTCCTGGGTTCAAGTGATTCTCTTGCCTCAGCTTCCCAAGTAGTTGGGGCTACAGGCACCCAGCTAATTTTTGAATTTTGAATTTTTAGTAGGGATGGGGTTTCACCATGTTGGCCAGGCTGATCTCAAACTCCTGACCTCGGGTGATTCACCCACCTCCGCCTCCCAAAGTGCTCAGATTACAGGCTTGAGCCACCGCGCCCAGCAGGTTAGTACTATTCCTACACCCAATTTACAGATGAGAAAACAGGGGCTTATAAAGAGATTAAAACTTGCCCAAGAATATAGAGTATAAGTTACTGCAAAGCCTGTATTTTGAACCCAGGTCTGTCTAACTCCAAAGCTCAAGTTCATAATTATTTGACCTTGAAGGAAAATTTAAATAAATTTCATTAAAAAATCCTTTTAGCCGGGCACGATGGCTCACACCTGTAATCCCAGCACTTTGGGAGGCTGAGGCGGGCGCATTACGAAGTCAAGAGATTGAAACCATCCTGGCCAACATGATGAAACCCATCTCTACTAAAAATACAAAAATTAGCTGGGCGTGGTGGTGCTAGCCTGTAGTCCCAGCTACTAGGGAGGCTGAGGCAGGAGAATTGCTTGAACCCAAGAGGCACAGGTTGCAGTGAGCCGAGATCGCGCCACCGCACTCCAGCCTCGCGCCTGGCTACAGAGCGAAACTCTGTCTCAAAAAAAAAAAAAAAAAAAAAAAAATCCTTTCGTCCTCAACTGTGTAAATCGAAAAACATTGCAAATAAAGAAACCCAGAACTTTGAGTTCCCTGTTATCTTTCAATTTCCCTGTAAGAATGCATCTGTCATTGGGTTTCTCAACCTCAGCTCTGCTGATGTTTTGGGCTGGATAATTCTTTGCTTGTATGGGGGAGGGAAGATTGTACTGTGCATTGTAGGATGTTTAGCGGCATCCCTGGCCTCTGCCCACATCACTGCCCCCTCCTCAAGTTGTGACAACCAGAAATGTTTCTGGTTTCTAGTTGTCACACTTTCTGGTTGGCACTGCCAAATGTTCCCAGTAGAGAACCACTGTATTAGATGATGGTACTTTATTTCTGTCATCTAAGTATGTCCAAACGCTGGTGTTTGTGGAAAGGTGATTTATTTAAAACAAATTTACTTAGAAGTTTATTTAAAATAAGTTTAACAGAAGTTTATTTAAAATAAGTTTAAAAGAGGTGTATTTAAAATAAGTCTACTCAGAAGTAAAGCTGGTAGAGTACAGTCCCGCATTAGTCAGCTGTATTAGTTTCCTAGGACTGTCATAACAAAGTGCCATGTACTGAGTGGCTTAAACAACAGGAATTTATTTTCTCATTGTTCTGGAGGCTGAAAGTCTGAAATCAAGCCTCAACAGGGTCGGCCTCTCTCCTGGGCTTATAGATGGCTACCTTCCTGTTCATGTAGTTTGCTCCCTCTGTGCCTGAGACCTATTAAATAGTATCTTTTTATAAGAACACCGGTCAGGTAAGGGTCCACACTAATGAACTCATTTCAATTTAATCACCTCTTTGAAGACCTTATGTTCAAATACAGTTACATTGAGTTACTGGGGATTAGAATGTGAACATACGAATTTTTTTTGGGGGGGGACACAATTCAGCCCATTAACATTGAGCTTAAGTCTTTTCTCCCCTCCCTCCCTTCCTTTCTGTGTGTATTGAACACCTATTATGTGCCAGACATTCAGCTAAGGGGGGGTAATGGTAAGCAACAAACATGGTCTCTGCCCGGTAAGGTTTACAGTGAGGTAGGACAGACAGATATTTAGAGTAATAACAAGTGCCAGCCAGGCATGGTGGCTCATGCCTGTAATCCCAGCACTTTGGGAGGCTGAGGCGGGCAGATCACCTGAGGTCAGGAGTTCGAGACCAGCCTGGTCAAGATAGTGAAACTCCCGTCTCTATTAAAAATACAAAAATTAGTCGGGTGTGGTGATGGGCGCCTGTAATACCAGCTACTCGGGAGGCTGAGGCAAGAGTATCGCTTGAACCTGGGAGGCAGAGGTTGCAGTGAGCCTTGATTGCGCCACTGCACTCCAGACTGAGCCACAGAGCGAGACTCCGTCTCAAAAACAAAAAACCCACCGTTGCCATGCAAATATTATGCTTTGGTAATGGATGACGGGAAAGCCTTGCCCTTCCCATCAGGTTTCCAACCCTGCTGGGCGAATGCAAGGGCTGCGTTATGACCTAACTGGCTGGGCGTGGTGGCTCACGCCTGTAATCCCAGCACTTTGGGAGGCCGAGGAGTTGAAGACCAGCCTGGCCAACATGGAGAAACGAATACAAAAATTAGCCGGGTGTGGTGGCACATGCCTGTCATCCCAGCTACTCAGGAGGCTGAGGCAGGAGAATCGCTTGAGCCCGGGAGGCGGAGGTTGCAGTGAGCCGATATCGTGCCACTGCACTCCAGCCTGGGCGATGGAGCGAGACTCCGTCTTAATAAAAAAAAAATTAAAAAAAAAAACTGAGCTAACCATGAGGTTAATGAGTCAGCCACTTGTCAAACAGGGAGACGCGTGTTTGCTACAAAGCAGCAGAGGTCTGGCCTTAGCCAGCAGCGAGCGCCACCTCAATCCGCCCTTTTCTATGACGCAAAGGTCATCCCCATCCCTCTTCTATGACGCAAAGGTCATCCCCATCCCTTCCTGGCTCCGCCTTTCCCCCGCTTGCAGCCCCGCCCCTCGCATGCTCTCCGGCTTTCTGCGCACCCTCCAAGACCTCGTCTCTCAGCGCTCTAACAATGGGGGGGGGAGGGGGAGGTCAGTCAGCCACGCCTGCGCCATAAAGCCTAGGGGCGTGCCCAGCCGGCGGGGGGAGGTGGGGAAAAGCGACGCTAGGAGCGACGACGCCATTTGCTGCTGCTGAGCGTGGACGCGGGCGGTTAAGACTTAGGTCGCGAGCTTCTCCCGCGCACGCTGCCTGGCCTTCAGCACCTGCTTCATCCTGCGCTCTCTCTCGTGTCGCCCTTCGGAGCAGCGACCGCCGCCACCCGGAAAGAAGTCAGAGACGCTGCGAGGTCGCTGCCACCGCCATGCCCAAGAATAAAGGTAATGCCGCCTGGACCCCCGGACCAAGGCTCTCCTCGGCAGGGTCTCCCAGGTCCTGCCCGTGGATTTCAGGTCACCCAGGCCGCAGTGACCTTTTTTCCCTCCCGCCCTGTCTGCCCGCGCCTGGGCGCCCAGCACGCGGCTCTGAGCTCGGGAGAGGATCTGTGAAGTTTTAACTCCTGTTGCCCAGTTTGGCCACATTGGGGTGGAGCCGACGCCATTTTTGTAGGGCCTCCTGCGGGAAAATGTGGGCTTTTTCTCCTGTTTCGCGCCAGACTGACCGCGACTTGGTGGGGACGGTGGCGGGAACCCTCCCCGGGGCGGCCTGGGCTTAGTAGGTGGGCCCTTTTGGCCTTCCCGGGCACGAAGGGTTAATCCCTGGAAGCCGTACTGAACTTTAAGAGTGATGCCTACATTTGAGAGCACCACGTACTCTTGCATGGGTTTCTTTATGGACGGTTCAGTATTGTTGAGGCTACTCGCTGTTACTTGTGAACAGTGGGTGAAACCTTGATGCGTTTCTGAGGTCCATCTAGAGATTTACTCTCACCATCCCTTTAGAGGATCCCTTATTTTGTTTGCAGAAGACTTGTTCCATATTTAGCCAAGTTTTTTGCTTTTGCTTCAGATCATGCATATGTTGTGAGAATAAAGACCTGTAAGTTACCTCTTTTCTGAGGCTAAGCCTTCACAAATGATCAGACTTGAGGATAACTTTATTTGGGATTTCCAAAACGGAAGGCCTAATCTTAAAAAAAAAAAAAAGCAGAACACTCTTAAAGAAATTACTTTTAGAAATTTACATTGTTCCTGTCATTTTTAATAGCCTTTTAATTTGTTGAAGAAAATTGTGCAAATAGATACAGGGAAACTACTGTATTTTCCTACAGGAGAGGAGCTTATTTCATAGTCCATAAGTAGTCTCCTTTGACTATTCATTCTTAGGAAACCCTCCCCTGACGCAGGCCTACACTTCTGCTCTCTTTCCTACTTGACAGCTGGCTCTGGGGATTCTACCTCATTTCCTCTTTGTAGCTGTCACTTATTACTATCCCTTAGGGTACTTGGTCGAGATTCTGTGCACAAGTTGGTGTAGTCCTCTCAGGGCACTCCACCTTGCTGCCTTTAGAGATCAAACTTGCAGGTCCTTTGTGTAGCAAGAATTTTCACTGCTATGATTTCGGAAAAGATGGAATTAGAAACAAAAAAAAAATTTTTTTTTTAAGACGGGGTTTCATCATATTGGTCAGGCTGGTCTCAAACTCCTGACCTCAGGTGATCCACCTGCCTCAGCCTCCCAAAGTGCTGGGATTACAGGCGTGAGCCACCGCACCCGACTTTTTTTTTTTTTTTAATTAATTTTTTTTTTTTTTAATTTATTCTCTCTGAGGTGGTAAGTAGATCACTGCCATCTTATTCTCACCTTTATTTCTAGTAATAAGATTTTCAATTCCCCCACTAAGCTGTAAATTCTAAAAGGCAGGAATAGTATCTGTCTTAATCACATTGGATGCTGGCACTTAATACTTAGTAGATGCTCAATAAATATTTGTTAGTTTAAGTCATCTTCCTCCTGTCGACTCCACCCTTAGGTAAATAATAGGTTCTGCATTGGTTCCAAGGGGATAGGACTTCTACATTAAATCACATCTAGTTCACTAAGTTCATGTCTTGCTTAAGAAGGAGCCTATCTGGGAATTTCTCTAAAACAACTCTGGTTTAAAGAATGTCGATGTCACTTTAATTTACACTCAGACCTAGTCTCATTCATTCAAAAGAGAATTTAAAGAACATCCCATTACATGGCAATAAAATATAGAGGAGAATGATCAGGGTATGCTTAATTCTGGTAAGTTAACAAGTACTGAATCTTTTCTTAAATAACATTTGAGGCATACAAAAAATATAGCTAACATAGTGAACCTGGGAATCCACTACTCTGAATTTAAGAATTACAGTGCAGATTGAGGTAAAGCCCTCTGTGTACCCCTCCCTAATCACCTTTTACTCTCTTTTTGGAGGTAATCACCAGGCTAAGTTTGGTGTTTATCATTACTGTACTGGGTAAAATCAATCAGTTCTTAATTATCTTAACTAGAGGAATGGTACTTTTCAAGACCTCTGAATTTCATGAGATGGGATTTACTGATGTAGAAATAAACTCATTTATTGTTCTATTTTTCTTCATTGGAAAATCTAGAAGCTCTGTCAAGATAATCTTGCTGTGGTTACACAAGTAAGGGTAAAATTTGCCACATACTATGTGTTGGATGACTTTTGCTTTGGATTGATTCATATCAGCTTATTCTACAAATTCTTAGAAACCCATCCTCAAATCAGGAAAAGGGGCATCCTTTGGCCCACTCATAAGCATTTAGGGTATATGATTTTTAACTCATCACTCCGTTAGGAATGTATGGACTATTCTTGATGGATTCATTTGAAGAATTGCTGAACTCAGGTATATTAACTCAATAAACAGCAGGTATGATCTTGCCCTAAAGGAGCTTGCACTCTGTTTTGCAGATCTGACTTTATACTTTTTCTAGGAAATTAGTTTCAGTGTTCTCTAAGAATGCCTCAGATACTGAATTCTAAGGACTCTAGGTGGTTCAGGAAATTGTAGAGGCCCACCTAAAATAGCACAGAGCAATGTGAGACTGCCCCAGGAGAGAGTAAGTTGACTTGATTCAAGAAGTTAGATTGTCTTTGCAGTGGTCAGGTGCACATTTGTGATTCTGTTTGGGTTATGAACTTTTTGCTGCTTCCAGGCTCTTCCCATGAGTCTCTTAGTATTATTACCACTTACGGCCTTTTTCCTGCATTTTGAAAATGGCTGCCAATGTGGTTTTGTTTCTTGAATGGGAGCAAAATGCTGTGGAGAGGTAACCTAATGTGGGGGATGGGGCAGAAAAGCATTGTGACTCTCAACACCCCACCTTACTGACTGTGATCATCAGTGAGCTGATTTTCACGGAAGCTGAGTTACTTCTCTGAGCTTCAGGAACTCATGGGTAAACTGGGAATAAGTAACTGTTATGACCTCATGGAGTGATTGTGACAAGTAAATGGGCAGAATTATTGCATAGTGGTTAAAAGCATGGTCAGTGGGGTATAATAGAAACAGGGATGTTGAGTAGGGACCAGCATTATAAAAGAAAGTAAATTGGGTACCAAATGGATATTTTTTTATCTTTTAAGAGACAGTGTCTTGATGTGCTGCCCAGGCTGGCCTGGAACTCCTGGACTTGCTCAAGTGATCCTCCCACTTGGGCCTCCTGAGTAGCTAAGACCCTAGGCATGTACCACTGCACCCAGTGAGATTTCAATATTTATGGTACTCTGCTACCGAAAGTTTGAAAAACCACAGTTCTCTGTCCAAACACTGTCTTCACTTAATTTTGAAAATATCAGGTTCCTTGCATAGGGCCTAACTTTAGAAGGCACCCAAGATTTCCGCTTAGAAGAATATGTATAGAACTGCATTTGTATTTCAAAAGGATGCATGCTAAAGTGAAATTTTTTTTTATATTTTTTAATATAATATCTGCTATTTATGTTTATTTTATGTCAGAAAAATCCTCAAAGGAAATTCCAAGAAGGGTAGGGAGGTAATAAATAATGGATTAATGTTGTGATTGGAGATTATAAACTTAATATGATTGAGTAGCCAAAACAGGTGAATTTTTAAATTTAAGTGATCTCTTAGAAAGTGGTTTTATAAGCCTTAACTTCATTTTATTTCATACTGTTTTACAGATAATTAATGTCATTTCCTCCCTTTTTTTTTAACCATCAGGTAAAGGAGGTAAAAACAGACGTAGAGGTAAGAATGAGAATGAATCTGAAAAAAGAGAACTAGTATTCAAAGAAGATGGTCAGGGTGAGTGTTTTCATAAATTATGCTTTTTAAAGTAACATCCTTTCTTTTTAGCTGGGGACTTAATTTTTTTTGAGACAGGTGTCTTGCTCTATTGCCCAGGGTGAAGTGCAGTGGCACAGTTACAGCTTACTGCAGCCTTGACCCCCTGGGCTGAAGTAGTCCTCTCAATTCAGCCTCTTATCTGGGACTAAAGGCACACATCATCACATCTGACTGATTTTTTAAATTTTTTTCTAGAGATGAGGTCTTCATATGTTGCCCAGGCTGTTCTCGAACTCCTGGGCTCAAGTGATTCTCCCACCATGGCCTCGCAAAGTGCTGGAAACTAAGAATGTTTCACATAGTTCAGAGGGAATTGAGCCTCCAAAGCTATGGTCATCTCTTCTATGATTTAGTTGACAGTTCTATGATTAGCGTTTTTGATAGTGAATGGTGCTGCATAATGTGTTGAATAGGCCATGGACATTTGAAGGACGAGCCTTAGGCCCTTCTAGACCTCACAATTCTCCAGTGCCATTAGCATATACCTTCATAAACTACAATAAAATGAAACTGAACAGTTAACTGACCTTACTAGACTGAAGAATTTTTTAAGTGCCAGACCAAGATATATAGCACTAGTCAAATAAATCCTAACTGGATCGTTTGCCTTTTCCTGTTATTTTTATTTCGAGTCATTTCAAACCTACAGAAAAGTTGCAGTATTAGTTCAAAAAACTCCCTTAAATCCTTCATCTCTACACAGATGTAAAGGAATATAAGGCCGGGCGCAGTGGCTCACGCCTGTAATCCCAGCACTTTGGGAGGCCGAGGTGGGTGGATCACGAGGTCAAGAGATCGAGACCATCCTGGTCAACATGGTGAAACCCCATCTCTACTAAAAATACAAAAATTAGCTGGGCATGGTAGTGCACGCCTGTAGTCCCAGCTACTCGGGAGGCTGAGGCAGGAGAATTGCTTGAACCCAGAAGGTGGAGGTTGCGGTGAGCCGAGATCGAGCCATTGCACTCCAGTCTGGGTAACAACAGCGAAACTTTGTCTCAAAAAAAAAAAAAAAAAAAAGAAATATATATATGTAGGGTTTGTTGAGGACCGTTTGACGACATTAGAGACAGCATGCTACTTTTCCCTTACTTAATCATGTGTCTCCTAAGGCAAGTATATTTTCTTACATAACTGGAAGAGAATTATCACACTCAGGTAATTTGACATTGATATAATATTATCTAGTATGTACTCCAAATTCCTGTTTTCCCAGGTGTTCCAATAATTTCCAGTACTTTAGCTTTTAATAGAACTTAGGGTGGATTTATTATGCCATACATATAAACCACTAAAGATGAGATACGTTTTCTGGCTGAAAGTCTTAGCCTTAGTCATCCTTGCCTCTAAAATAGCAGCTGACTTGACTTGGGCAGACATTGCTTTAATACTACTTTTTTTCCTCACTTCGGAAGAAAGGCTGCCTTTGAGTTGACCAACCTTGTTAATGTGGTAGGTGGGTGCCAGGCTCATTGTAGTCTGGGTAATTCACTTTCAGAAGTCCACCCCACTGTTGAGCCTTTCTAAGTGAAGTCTCGGTATATTTACAGATCAGTGGGCATCCTCTCTGGGGGTTAGTCATATTCTAATTCAGCAAAGACACTGAAGGTTAAGCTGTTTTTGTTTGCCAAATGTACTAAAAATTATATGAGATTAGCAGCTAAAGGCACTGAGGGAAAGAGGGAAAAGTGGGATGGTCAATCTACTTATTCAAAATGAGTCGATAATTAAAATATGTCTAATAGCAGAGACAGCATGTTATAGAAATAGCATTACAGTCTTGGTTCTAACTCTGCCATTAACCCGATGTTTATCACTCCCTCATGTTTGATTATATTTTTCCTATATATTTATTCCCAACTGGTACAACTATATTCTCTTGTCAGTTTCATGTGGACTTTAAGTTGCTTTTATCAAAAGTTGAACATTATTTCATACCCTTTTCTCCCCTTAGAGTATGCTCAGGTGATCAAAATGTTGGGAAATGGACGGCTTGAAGCAATGTGTTTCGATGGTGTAAAGAGGTTATGTCACATCAGAGGAAAACTGAGAAAAAAGGTAGGTGTGATTTGTTTTACTTTAATAATAAAGTTGGTTAAGGGAGAAAATGCCTCTACAGTTTTGTTTTGTTGGTGGTGGTGGTTTTTTTTTTTGTTTTTTTTGTTTTTTTTTTTTTTTGAGAAGGAGTCTCGCTCTTGTCGCCCAGGCTTGAGTACAATGGTGCAATCTGGCTCACTGCAACCTCTGCCTCCTGGGTTCAAGCAATTCTCCTGCCTCTGCCTCTTGAGTAGCTAGGATTACAGGCACGCGCCAACACGTCTAGCTAATTTTTTGTAATTTTAGTAGAGATGGGGTTTCACAATGTTGGCCAGGCTGCTCTCGAAGTCCTGACCCCAGATGATCCACCCACCTCAGCCTCCCAAAGTACGGGGATTATAGGCATGAGCCACCACACCCAGTCACTACAGTTTTTAACTGTCCGTGGACTTCATTTTTGGAAATTCCCAAAAGACTTACCTAGGTAAAGAATGATTTACCTGTAAGTCAAATAACAAGGTCGGTAATAGTAATCTTATACAGGTTCTAATGTTAAGGAATCATTTGTATCACTAATGTTGTCTTCCTGCCCAAAATGGTTAACCTGAATTTGAATCATGAAGAAACAGTCCATAAGTCCAAATTGAGAGACATTCTGCAAAAACTAACAGCCCAGCTTTTTTTCCTTGTCTTTTTTTGAGACATGGTCTTACCCTGTCACCCAGCCTATAGTGTAGTGGCACCATCTTGGTTCACTATAGCCTCAACCTCCCTGGTTCAAGCACTCCTCCCACGTCAGCCTCCCATGTAGCGGGGACTACAGGCCTTTGCCACCATGCCTGGCTAATTTCTGTATTTTTTGTAGAAATGAGGTTTCTCTATGTTTTGCTTAGGCTGGTCTAGAACTCCTGAGCTCAAGCAATCAGTCCTCCTTGGCCTCCCAAAGTGCTGGGATTACAGACATGAGCCACTATACCTGGTTCAGCTCTTAATGAAATGTTACTGTCATGAAAGTTTAAAAAAAAAAAAGCTCGGGTACTATTCTAGTTTCAAGGAGACCTGACAGTTAAATATAGTAGGTGGCCCTTGTTAGGATTCTGGTTTAGGAATTGGAGATAAAGCTGTAAAGTGTACATTAAGAAAATCTGAATATGAGTTATGTTACATAATCATTGTATTAATGTTGTATTTCTTGAATGTCATGAAAGGACTGCCTTGGAAAGTAATGATTAATTCACCATCACAGTAGTTATTCAGGTAGATTTATTAATCAGGTTGACTAAAAGTCACAACTCTGATTTTGTGTTTTTTTTAATTTGGTAAGTTAATCCTTCTGTTCCCAAACTAAGATCTTTTTTTGAGACAGAGTCTCACTCTGTTGTGCAACCTCCACCTCCTGGGTTCAAGTGATTCTCATGCCTCAGCCTCCCGAGTTGCTGGGACTACAGGCATGTGTCACCATGTCCGGCTAATTTTTGTATTTTTAGTAGAGACAAGGTTTTACCATGCTGGCCAGGCTGGTCTTGAACTCCTGACCTCAAGTGATCCACTCACCTTGGCCTCCCAAAGTGCTGGGATTATAGGCGTGAGCCACCATGCTAGCCCAAACTAAAGTCTCTTAATTTCTAAACTAATTGTTACTCTGGAATGTAACAATATAAACTAATTGTTACTCTGGAATATTTTAAATATGACTGACAATGACTTTTCTTTTGTAGGTTTGGATAAATACCTCCGACATAATATTGGTTGGTCTCCGAGACTACCAGGTAAAAATTACATGTAAATTTTTCATTTTTTACTGGCTTGAATTTGATGAGCCATTTCTTAGAGCCAGTTGTGTTTTAGGCATTGTGCTAGATATCCCAGGGATTATGTTTAAATCAAAATGTGGGAGGCATTATTTTAGGGCATACAGCTGGATGAGGTAAGTGCTCATCCCACAAAAGGCTCATAGCCTGGTAGTGGAGAGAATGAAGACAAGCACACAAGTAATTACACATCACGACATAGGTATGTGCTATAAATCTAGATGAGCACTTGGGAAAGAAAGAAATGATATTGCCTTTCATGCTCTTAACCCTTGACTCTGTAGACTCACTGTGGGTCTGTGAGATCCGTTCGACTTCCATCTGTTAGAACTCATCCCTGTGTGTTAATATCTCTATTTGTACAACCTTGATCATACTTGGATTTTTTTTTTTAAATAATCCAGAATAAAGAATTTAAATCTTTATACCACTGTTTCTTAATCGTGGGCAGTTATGCCCTCCAGGGGACATTGGCAGTGTCTGGAGACTTTTCTGGTTGTCACAACTGGGGATGGGTGCAGTGCTGCTAGCATGTAGTAGATAGAGGCTGGGGTGATGATAAACATCCTGCAGGGCACAGGACAGCATCCCTTAATGGAGAACGGTCCACCTCCCAATAATCCCTGGCGCCGCGGTGAGAACGCCTGCTTTAAATTCATACCATTTTAATGTCCTTTTTTTTCTTTTGATCTCAACAATAACCCCAGAAGCAGGAAGAATAAGTAATTCCCTGTTTGATAGATAAGGACACCAAGGTTTTGAAATGAGTGACATTCTGACTGTAAAGTGACAGCAAGGACCAGTAGTTCTGATTTGAATTTTTTTGTGATCCTGCTCTGCCCCTCCCACTTACAGGGTGGTCTGTGGCTCAATAGCATCACTGTCTTCTGGAAGCTTGTTACCAATGCACGTTCTTTGACTCTTCATTCAGAACATGTATTTTAATAAGATCTCCATGGGCTTCTATACACTTTACATTTTAAGAAGTACTGGTCTGAATCACACTGTCCTTGAAGTTGAAGCAATCAATTTTCTCCCTTAACTGAGTTAAATTCTTTTCAAATGGGGAAGTAGAAACATTCTTAGGCAGTATTTCTCAATGGGACGTTTGCATCAGAAATACCTAAAGAATTACTCACAATACTAATTCTTGGGCTTCACTTCTAATCTATCTTCAGAAGATATAAAAACTCTACAGGAGATTTTGATTGATACATAGCCAGAGAAGCACAGATGGTATGGAAAGGTATAATTTCCTTGGGTCATTATACAGTCTGAGTTCAGTCTCAATTTTGGAATTGCAGTGTTTGATCATCCAAAAATTACCGTCCCAGGGAACTTTTGTATTTCAAAAGACTTCTAATCAAAGGGCAATATTAAATAATCTAAAATATAGGGTCTGCACAGTTCTGCTCTTACTAAAGTGAGGTCTTCAAATATATTTCCTAAGCCTCTTAGTCATCATTCCGTCATGCATGTAAGCTTCCTCCTGGGTTAAACCCAAGTATATTTTTCAGAGGGTAAGAGAAAGCTTTAAAATTTAAAAGGAGAAAGATTTATAATAAAATGGTGAGATTTGATTGTTTATTCAATATGAGAATTTATGAAATAACTGGTGTTTCACTATGATCAGTTTTTAAAGTTATTATCTCTATTCAAGGATAACAAAGCGGATGTAATTTTAAAATACAATGCAGACGAAGCCAGAAGTCTGAAGGCATATGGCGAGCTTCCAGAGCATGGTAATGTCTGGGTTATTATATTCACTTGTTATATGGTATTTAGGTTATCTGTTGGTGTTTAGGTGAAGGAACTGTGGATTTCGCATATTTGCTTTAGTGCTTATGTTTTTAGTTTTAAGTATGCCTGCCTGTGCTTCATGATGGAAGAAAGAAATTACTAGAATTCTGTTTCTAATAAATAATGGTTAGGAGTTATGTTCTATAAGCTTTGGACTTCCACATAATGCCACCCAAAGGAATAATTTTGTTATAGTGTCTATTTTAAAATTCTTCTCAAGAGATTGTTAGTGCTCATATGAGTTAAACATGAAGTGCAAGTCAGCCAGGCGTCGTGGCACATGCCTGTAGAGCCAGCCAGTTGAGAGGCTGAGGCAGAATTGCTTAAGTCCAAGAGTTTGAGGATGCAGTGACCTATGATCATGCCACTATTCTCAAGCCTGAGTGACAAAGTGAGACCTTGTCTCAAAAAAGTTTTTAAAAACACAAAAAACATGAAGCAAGGGCGCATAATTAGGTACTGTTACTGATTTTTGTTTGTTTGTTTATTTGTTCGCTTTGAAATGGAGTCTCACTCTATTGCCCAGGCTGGAGTGCAGTGGCACATTCTTGGCTCACTGCAACTCTACCTCCCAGGTTGAAGCAGTTCTCCTGCCTCAGCTTCCCGAGTAGCTGGGATTACAGGCATGCGCCACCATGCCCAGCTAATTTTTCTGTTTTTAACAGAAACAACATGGGGTTTCACGGTGCTGGCCAGGCTGATCTCCAACTCCTGACCCTCAGGTGATCCAGCCACCTTGGCCTCCCAAAGTACTGGAATTACAGGCATAAGCCACCTTGCCCAGCCTTGTTACTACTTTTTCTTAAAAAGTTGTATTTTCATTTTTTATCTTTGTGTAATAGTATCCCATAGGATTTTTTTAAAGCAACATTATTGGTTTTCACTCCTCCAAATACAAAAGTAATGAATTCTTCATGCAGAAAACCTAAAAATAAGTCCCTTATAACCTCATCAGAGGGGAAATATACTTGACATACTATATTGTAGGCCTGAATTTTTACTTGGCAGTTACTATTTTTAGCTCTGTTGTATCTGATTATGTAAAAACATTATTATGAAATAACCTAATTTTACTTAAGCATGAAAGTCCTGCTGAAATTACTCACTTGGCATTTCTGATCTAAGAAATGTTAATATATCTAGGAATAGGACTACCGCTTCCTGATTCATTTTCATTGCTTGGGGATAATCATGATTGGACCAGATCTTTCTGACTGATGAGTCTGTCCGATGATTAGTGAACCAGCTGTTCTTATCTCAAGGAAGTACGTTGTTACCGTGTGTTCAAACCTATTAAGAAGTGTACCTGGAAGTTATAATAGCTTCAGAATTAATGTAATTAGAGCCTGCCTTACTAAAAATAACTTTGCAAACAAAAGAAAACGGTAACACAAATACTCCCCATATTGACACAGCAGTGACACTACAGGGAATTTTGTTTTGTGAAATACTCTTTATAGTAATTGTGTTATATAAAAGTTAGGAATGCTTTTGTTATGATGAAGCTTTGATTAAACTACAATGCTGACTTAATGTATTTCTTGTTGTGTCCTTAGCTAAAATCAATGAAACGGATACATTTGGTCCGGGAGATGATGATGAAATTCAGTTCGATGACATTGGAGATGATGATGAAGATATTGACGACGTAAGTAAATGTACCTTGCATTTTCCAATTTTTGTTACTATCCATGGAGAAATCAGCTTTCCCCTAACATCCATTAATTTTAAGAACATGGTACATTTAAATAAGGGTATATTTTGAGAATTGTCTGAATTAAATAGTATTATTTAGAAGACAACTAGTCAAACTGTTTATATTTTGAGAATTCTTAAAACCCTCTTCAATTTGTCTTCCTGAAAAGATCAGTGTTTACATTGGCAATATTAACACCAGCCACTCTAATCATAACTTGTTTAATTAAGAGTCTCTAAAGAGATAGCCAATAGGAAATTTAGTGAACAGTTGAAAAATAGAAGATCTTATCAAAGGAACATGCCTTTTTAATTGAAATATTAGTATGTTGAAAGAATCTTGTTTGAACCAGCTTGATATGAAGTATTGGAATTACAATATACACTGAAAGCCGTAATAAAATGGAGGCCTGTTGCCAGTTGTATTTTTAGCTGTTGGGTGTGTACTGTTGGCAAACTTTTGGCTTGCAGTTGGTATGTTTATTTTGAGGAAAATGTCCTGTCTTTCCTAATAATAAAGTAGTAATGCCCATAGGAGTAAATGCTTTACTGCACTTCTGCTGTTACTGTATTTGAATGAAATTCAGACTTAAATCTTTTGGCAGTGTAAGTTTATTGAGCGATTGGGGTGTTACTCTTAAATCTGTTTTGGGCTCTTGTTTTCAAACCTCTTTACCTGAAACGTAGTTCAGAAACCACCTGTGTATTTAAATCCAAAAATAATAAGCCAGATGTGGTGGTATGCTCCTGTAGTCACAGTTACTCAGGAGGCTGACAGGGGAGGATCACTGGAGCCCAGGAGTTCAAGACCAGCCTGGGCAACACAGCCAGACCTTGTCTCTAAATAAATAACATAATAACATTAAATTCGATGCAAAGATGGTATTTCAGAATACCAAGCAAGAGCAGTTGTTCCTGACCAAGAATACTCACATTTTGAGTTAAATTGCTAATGTTATAGACATTTTAACACAGAAGCAAAAATAGGAAGTGAGAAATAAATATATTGTTCTGTTATCTTCTTAATTTTGGAGATCCTGAGCCAAGAGGAGTCTTGTGACTAAACTGTTACTATTAATATTTTGACAATAAAGAAATTAACAATTCCATTCTTTGGTAAGAACTTGCAGCTGACACATGGATTAAGTGCCACCCAAACATTTTGACAACGGGGCAGGAGTAGGCCTCTTTAAAAATAAATAAATAAATAAGGCCGGGCGCGGTGGCTCACGCCTATAATCCCAGCACTTTGGGAGGCCGAGGCGGTTGGATCTCGAGGTCAAGAGATGGAGACCATCCTGGTCAACAAGGTGAAACCCCGTCTCTACTAAAAATACAAAAATTAGCTGGGCATGGTGGCGCACGCCTGTAGTCCCAGCTACTCAGGAGGCTGAGGCAGGAGAATTGCTTGAACCCAGAAGGTGGAGGTTGCAGTGAGCCGAGATTGCGCCATTGCACTCCAGCCTGGGTAACGAGCGAAACTCTGTCTCAAAAATAATAATAATAATAAATAATAAGGAATCTAATCAGAGGACATACATGAATATGAAGCCACATGCACCAAGATAATGGGTTGAGAATCTAGGCAGGGTCAAGATTTTCTCAGTAAAAATTTCTGGATCTGGGCCAACAACAACTCAGAACTGGACCCAGCTGTCCGGCTGGAAAAGAGATGGTAAAGACAGTGGTTATTAAAGGGGTTCTCTTGAACATTTCGTAAAAATTTGCTCTGTCACCTTAGAACCCTACTTAAGTCATTTCTCCAGGTGGTTTATAGGTGTTCTACTATAACCAGATTGACTCAGGATTTAAGTCTATCACCCCTGATGTCTGCTCCCATCGAGATATAAAAATCTCAAATTACTAGCATTAAAGGAAAGGAAGGAGACAATAAACTTTATTAGGAATATTTTGCTTCCTAATAGTACAAAGGAGATCATAATGATTTACTTACAGCAGGCCAGAATTAAAGGAATTTCTTCTTCAAACTGGATTTGTTTCTCAGATAGCGTAGGGAGGTGAAAGTCTCTTATATATGGAGTAGACTGTTGGAATTTAAGAATTCTTTTTCCTTTCATTGATATTCTTTTTTCCCTCCAGATCTAAACTGAACTCAAGATTTCACATTCCATCTTTTCTCAAGATTGCCCTACAATTTGGATTTTGGCCATGACAAAGATTAAAATTTCATTAGCATGAATACAGTTTGTTAAAACAGACTGATTTGTTCCTAAGGTATTTTTATTTCTTTTAAAACTGGTAATGCTGAGTTATCTTAAGTGAGATGTTAAGCCCACTTCGCTCTTTTAATATAGTGGAGCTTATGGGTAGAAGACCACGTCTACTATTTAAAAAAAAAAATAGATTGCTTCTTTTCCTACCACTTCCAATAAGAAAATTGATGTTTTAAAGAAATAATTTGCCTTGTCCTCGTTATGGAATATGATTAAGCCCGGCCTCTTGATTGTATAGAGCATTGTGTATATTCCAATTACCTAGGTATTCCCTTAAGATTTTGATACAATTTGAGGGAGGCAGAAATGTGCATTTGAAGTAAAAAATAAGTCTTGTCATATTTAAGTAGCCTGTGGCTATTTTTATACTGATTTTGATATCGTATTCTTTTCATAATCGCATTTTGCCACCATTTCCAAAATGCAGTTTTCAGAACTTGGGTTTTAATAGCAATTTTGAATTTGTAAGCTTAGTAGTTACAGAAATTGAACACTAGGTGGCACTCAGTTATCTAAACATGCGAAAGTAGATAAAATTGTTTTCTTTTACTATAAGAAATATCCCAAACATGAAAAGATTGCTTTGATCATATGCACATATGTAGAAAATTTTTACAGAGTGGAAAGATTGTTAAAAGTGTGATTTTTATTTTCAGAAGTCATATACATGTAAGCTACAATTTTGAGTGCTTTATAAACACGAGATATATAAGTGAAATTTTAATTTCATAACAACTTGTAAAAATAAAAAAAAACTTGTTGAAAACCCTTTTTCAACATATCCCTAAGCTCTAGGGGAAGAGGAGGGACTAACAACTCAATGAAAAGACAGTCTCCAATTTCTGAATGGAAAAGCTACAGCTAAGAAAATAAAATGTCATGGTTCAGAGTATGTTATACCCTTATTTTTATTATGTGAACAGTTTTTGTTTTTTGCTTGTATTGGGAACTGGGTTTACTGGTAACTTCCTTATTTAGTTTTTATTTATCAACTATAATAAAACGAAACTAGGGCTGAGCTAGTTAGCCCTCACTAACCACACTGAAATCATATGCAACATTAAAAGAAGAGATCCATCAGTAGCTTGTGACACTTTCATTCTATTAGTCCCCAGGGAACTTTTCAGTGATGAAAAGTAATACACAGGGCAATACCTTCACATGGCTTCAAAAGGAGAACAAGCGAATCTTCTCTAATCTACTCTTACTATAATTTCCTAATTACAAACTCTGGATTCAAAAATCTGAGGTACTATAAAACATTAAGTTGAAGAATAGAAATTAAAGAGTGCATATTCATGGTTTATATTTCATATTCTATGGAGTTCCTGAACACATCTAGATGGAATGCATCTGAGACTAAGGGCTGGTTTTTAATCCCCATAAGAAACCAACCTTGAAGAATTAACAGTTGTCTCCATCCATATTCTAAATCTCCTAAGATATTTAGATTTCTGTATATAAAAGTGTTTTTGCTAAACTTACAGTATGTATAGATCCTGTCATATTATTTTACTAAGAATGTTTGAACTTGGCATCATATGTGATATAGTTCCTGGTAGGAATAGTACAGCTCAGACATTAATTTTTCTGTTTACCTCCTTTAACACATGTGGTTTGTCTGAAGAGTTTCTGAAAATTCAGCTATAACCCCAGTTCATGTATTTGCTGGTGACTGTTCTTGCCAAGGTTATCCTAGGAAATCTCGAATCATAATGATTAAAATAGTTGGGGTAAAGTTGTAGCTTATATCCAATACTACTTGGAGGAATCCTTTCACTAATTTGTATTTAATGTGGAAGTTGTATCGTTTCATTGACGTAATAATAAATAATGGAAGTGGTCTTCAAGAAGTTTTCTTTTTCTTTTTTTGCTTATACTTTCTGATTCCTGTAATACAATGTTATAAGCTATGCACAGAAAGAAAATAAAATGTTTAAAATCCAAGAAAATGGTTCTTACTGCTAAGAGGGCATAATAGTAGTAATGATTTTGCTGGGGTTGCATTTTTGATGCAATGTTTATTCCACTTGCAGTTAGAATATGAGTATGTTTTATCACTAATGAGGCTAAACCAAACCAAACATTTGTGTTAAAAAAGAAGCCAAGATTTCATTGTTTGACTGTTGAATATTTCTTAAGCATCTATCCCCTGAAGAGACTGCTTCTTATGGAGCCTGTAAACTATGCATGATGGAAATTGTTGTATTTTATTGAGGAATGGCCATTGGTTTACTCACCACATCTGTGGAATCATGGCTATAAATGTTTGCTTACAAACTCTTTGTGACTTGTAATTTAACTTAATCTCATCTAATGTAAATATTAGATTATGATGCTCAGTAATATCTTTCATAGGTATAAACTGCTGTCATTATTGACTTCAGAGTAACTCTGAATAATCAAATAGGTAAAAAGCATGTTTTGAGTAAAATAGCTAGATTTATATTTTATTTGTATGTGTACAGACTGAACAACCGGTATTGACTGGATTGACAGTTAAAGTATCAGAATGAAAGCGAGGTTTTTTTTTAATGTTACCTGACTGTCATAAAAATGAAAATGATTTGTATTGATTGGTATGAAATGCTTATCTTTATGCTGCTTAGTAAGGGTAAGTTTTATTTATACTATTTGGGCTCCCATGAACTTCTGCATACTGCTTTGTGTTTTTGGTTTACCCTCAACTATCCTCCCTTTTATCTTTGCTTCTTTTCTTCCTATTCAGAAAGAGCAAAATGAAAAGATACTAGACCCTCAGGTAAAGAATTAGAACTGAGCAATTTGGAGAGTGTGTTGGACTTTGTCCTCTTTTATCTCATCCTCCCAGCCCTGCAAGTTGCTAGGTACTTGTGAGGCAATGTACTAGAGAGGGAAGAGCATGGATCCTGGGGTCAAAGGGCCTGTGTCCCACCCTTACTCAGCCCTCTACCTGCAGGTGACCACTGGCACATTCTCCAGCTCGTCTCAGTTTCAGGTTCTTCACCTGTAAGATGGGGATGATGAAAGCAGTACCTGTCATGCAGAATTGTTAGGAGGATTGATAATTTAGATGTTCATACTTGTACTTAGAGCAGTCTGCCTCTTTTCACTTGATAACCCAGTACTATGTAAGATAGAAGATGCATGTCTTCTATATTCTGTATTTCCCATTTCTTTTGTGTATACTCTTTCTTAAAATAGAAGGAACACGTAGAATGTATATTTGTATATTCGTGTCAACACGGTATTTAAAATTGCTACCAACCTCATTTAATTTGGCATAAGACCAACAGATGAAGTCTCTCATTTGCTTGAGGATACTTCACAAAATATCAACTGCTCTATATTTCTTTAGAGAAAGATTATAGTTAATAATATTGATACCTCTGATAATATTTTATTCTTGTCTTCAGTGAGTCCTTTTACTATAGACTTCATGACAACTAATTAGTACTAACTGATTTAGAGGTTTCCTTTCCCATCATACAGAATGATGTAAAGAAATCAGATGCAAACTATTGCAATTAGAAAATAAAATATGAAACAACTTCCAACAATGTATAGAATTGATTCTTTTTGAACTGTTTATAACATTTTTAGCTATTCACGTGATTCTTTTTAAAAAATTTGCTATTTTTAAAACTTAATTGTGATATATAAGGAAAAAGGTATACCTTGTTTTTGTCTGCTTTTGTTTGTTTGATCTGAATGAATCAATTTAGCCATACTCCAAATATGGGGTTGCGTTTTCTCAGCAAGTGAATTTGTCACAAACTATGCTGAAGATGACATTTTCTAATGGTAAATCAGTTCTGCAGAGTGATTTCAGATTGCCATTCACATTCAACACACCTTGTTTTATATGATGCAAAGACCAATAGGTGAAGTAAATACTTATACTTCTGGCCAACTTGCCCACTTTTAAAAGGCCAGTCTGTACTGCCATTCCAATCCATGTTTTGTTCAGTTCACGACTTGATGTTGGCAGATAAGAAAGTAGGGGATGAGTGTGGTGGCTCACTCCTATAATCCCAGTACTTTGGGAGGCCAAGGTAGGTGGATCACCTGAGATCAGGAGTTCAAGACCAGCCTGACCAATATGGTAAAACCTCATCTCTACTAAAAATACAGAAATTAACTGGGTGTGGTGGCATGCACCTGTTGTCTCCAGCTACTTGGGAGACTGAGGCAGGAGAATCGCTTGACACCAGGAGGGGGAGGTTGCAGTGAACCAAGAGCCGAGATCGCACCACTGCACTCCAGCCTGGGTGACAGAGCAAGACTCCATCTCAAAAAAAGTAGGGACAAAATCTGAGTCAAGTCCCATTTCCAATTTCTATGCTGTCAGATACAAAAGGAGCTGGACTTGGCAAATGTGATAACATTTAATACGTATTTAAGATTTTTTAAACTGTCTTAGGAATCTAACAATAATGGGAATTTTTTTCTTTTTTTGAGATGAACTCTCGCCCAAGCTGGAGTGCAATGGTGCAATCTCGGCTCACTGTAGCCTCCGCCCCCTGGGTTCAAGCAATTCTCCTGCCCCAGCCTCCCAAGTAGCTGGGATTACAGACATGCAGCACCACTCCTGGCTAATTTTTGTATTTTTAGTAGAGATGGGGTTTCACCATATTGGCCTGGCTGGTCTCGAACTCCTGACCTCAGTTGAGCCACCGTGCCTAGTCAGAAATTTTCTTAGTTTAATAAAGGTTGTCTACCAAAGTCAAGCATAGAAATAAACTTGCAATTTAAAAAAGGTTTTTGGGGCCAGATGCGGTGGCTCACACCTGAAATCCCAGCACTTTGGGTTGCCAAGGATCACCTGAGGTCAGGAGTTCATGACCAGCCTGACCAACATGGAAGAACCCTGTCTCTACTAAAAATACAAAATAAGCCTGGCATGGTGGCGCATGCCTGTAATCCCAGCTATTCAGGAGGCTGAGGGAGGAGAATCACTTGAACCCGGGAGGCGGAAGTTGCAGTGAGCCAAGATCACCCATAGCCCTCCAGCCTGGGCAACGAGTGAAACTCAGTCTCAAGAAAAAAGGTTTTTGGCCCAGCATAGTGTCTCACAGCTATATATCCAGGAGTTGGAGACCAGTCTGGACAAATAGTGAGACGCCATCCCTTAAAAATAAAACATTCGGGCATGGTAGTGCACACCTGTAGTCCCCACTACTTGGGAGGCTGAGGTTGGAGGATTGCTTGAGCCAGGAAGGTTAATGCTGTAGTGAGCTATGATATGATGTCACTGCATTCGCCCTGGGCAACAGAGCAAGACCCTGTTCCCCCCCAAAAAAGTGAGGCTGGGTGTGGTGGCTCACACCTGAAATCCCAGCACTTTGGGAGGCAGAGGCAAGCAGATCACTTGAGGTCGGGAGTTCGAGACCAGCCTGTCCAACATGGTGAAACCCTGTCTCCACTAAAAATAAAAAATTAGCCAGGTGTGGTGCACAGGCCTGTAATCCCAGCTACTTTGGAAGCTGAGGCATGAGAATCGCTTAAACTGGGGAGGTGGAGGTTGCAGTGAGCCGAGATTGCACCATTGCACTCCAGCCTGGGCAACAGAGTGAGACTGTCTCAAAAACAAAAAAAAGTCTCTGACAATGCAATTAAAGTTTATTAACCTAATGAAATTAATCTCATACACTGGTACATCCTAACCTTTGAGTACGCATCTTTTTAATATGTGACAAAGTGGAGAGTACTACATAAAGCACTTCTGCATACCAATGTGTAGCAGTTGTCTCAAGGTTAAGCATTTGCGATAATTTGTATTGCAAACAACTGGACACTAGTGGAATATCGTTTTTACTTGAAAGAAACATTGATAAGCTGATATTTCAAAGTTGGATTTGTGTTCAACATTTTTGTAAAAATAAAATTAGCCTATCATTTCAAGGGAAACAAATAACCGTATTTGTTGGTGGTGATAAAATTTGAGCTTTGAAGAGCGAAAAAAAGCTTTAGAAAACTAGTATCTGCTACTATTAGCTTGACAACTTCACTAAAGTAAGAACTTTTCTGAAGAGATCAGTGATATTAATGAATGTGGCATCTTAAAATTGTAGAATGAAAAGGGTCAACATAGGGAAGATCATATGTCTGTCAGTTTTTTCCAAGTTTTCCAGGTGTGAAGTTAAAAAGTGCATTCATAGTTCAAAATAGACCAATGAATTTTAATGTAACAGTATGAAACGTTTGTCGATTTGGTGTTAGATTCCACCGTGCAACTAACTCAGGAAATCACCTCTTGTTAAGATTGTGTGTAGTGTCAAAGAACATACCCAATTATCTGAAAAGTCTATTAAAATCTTCCTTTTCCGACTACATGCCTCTGAGGCCAGATTTTCTTCATACGCTTTAACCAAAACTTACTAGGGCACATTGAATACAAAAGCAGATATGAGACTTTCGTCTATTAAGCCGGTCTGACGATTTGCAAAAATGTGCAACAATGTCAATTTTTTGTTTCTGTGACTCCTCATTAAGTGTTTATGCTAATGCATTGATTTTATTCTTGAATTAACATTTTTAAAAAATCTATGCGTACCGTCAGCTGTATTAACTGACCGACAACTCACAAGCTTGCCATTTCAAGGAAAATTGACAGTGTTTATTGCCAGTGCTACATTTGTACTTTCAAGTAAAAATTAGAGTTTTAGAAATTAGATCTACCAACATTAGCCAGATCAAAGAGCTCTGTGATTCTCCATTTTTAAGTATAAAATAGGGGTTCGCAAACCCCTTTCTATAAAGGGCCAAAGAGTAAATACCTTGGGCTTTTCAGGCCATCTGATCTGTTAGAACTACTCAGTTCTGCCATTGTAGTGCAAAAACAGCCACAGGTGTCACACACAAATGAGTGTGGCTATATTCTAATAAAACGTTATTAACAGAAATAGGTAGTGGGCTGTATTTGGCCTATGCACTGTAGTTTGTTGACCCTTGATATAAAGGGGTTCTGAGACCAGATAATTTGAGATCTGCATTAGACTAACAACTTAAGTGGTATAGTACATTTTAAGATACTATTCAACATACTAAATTTTTTTTTGAGGCGGAGTTTCACTCCTGTTGCCCAGGCTGGAGTGCAATGGTGCAATCTCCACTCACCCTAACCTCCACCTCCCAGGTATGAGCGATTCTTCTGTCTTGGCCTCCCAAGTAGCTCGGATTACAGGCATGCACCACCATGTCCAGCTAATTTTTTTGTATTTTAGTAGGGATGGGGTTCCACCATGTTAGGCTGGTTGCAAACTCCTGATCTCAGGTGATTCATCTGCCTCAGCCTCCCAAAGTGCTGGGAGTACAGGCGTGTGCCACTGCGCCAGGCCTTTTTTTTTTTTTGAGGACAGTCTTGCTCTGCACCCAGGCTGGAGTTCAGTGGTGCAATCTCAGCTCACTGAAACCTCCATCTCCCGGGTTCAAGTGATTCTCCTGCCTCAGCCTCCCAAAGTGCTGGGAGTACAGGCGTGTGCCACTGCGCCAGGCCTTTTTTTTTTTTTTTTTTTTTGAGACAGTCTTGCTCTGTCACCCAGGCTGGAGTTCAGTGGTGCAATCTCAGCTCACTGAAACCTCCATCTCCCGGGTTCAAGTGATTCTCCTGCCTCAGCCTCCCAAGTAGCTGGAATTACAGGCGCTCGCTGCCATGCTCAGCTAATTTTTGTATTTTTAGTAAAGATGGTGTTTCACTATGTTGGCCAGGTTGGTCGCGAACTCCTGACCTCAGGTGATCCACCCACCTCTGCCTCCCAAAGTGCTGGGATTACAGGTGTGAGCCACTGTGCCTGGCCCATACTATAGTTTTTTTTTTTCTTTCTTTCTTTTTTTTTTTTTTTTTTTTTTGGAGATGGCGTTTCACTCGTTGCCCAGGCTGGAGTGCAATGGCACAATCTTGGCTCATTGCAACCTCCGCCTTTCAAGTAGCTGGGATTACAGGCATACACCACCATGCCTGGCTAATTTTGTATTTTTAAGTGATGGAGTTTCTCCATGTTGGTCAAACTGGTCTTGAACTCACGACCTCATGTAGTCCGCCCCAGTCTCAGCCTCCCAAGGTGCTGATTACTGGCATTAGCCACTGTGCCTGGCAATGCTATAGATTTTTATAGGAAGTTTTATAGTGGGAAAAGCCCAGGAAACTTGAAAGTCATTTTTTAAAAGCTTAAATACAAATTACGTTAATGGATATTCTGTTATGATGTTATGAAAATGTCAATTTTCCCCAAATTAACCTCTGATTTCAATATAGTTACAATTAGTATTATAGTAGGCCGTGGTGGGAGATAGCAAAAACGTCCCAAAGTATATTCATGTGGAAATACTGGATTTCAAAGAACTCTAAAAACACTGCTAAGCGGGAATTCACTCCAACAGATAAGTTGTACCCTAAGCCATAGTAGTAAATAATAGATGCAGTAACAGAAAGATCAGAATAGATACCTTAGAATCTGGCTCACCTACTATGGGAAATAGACATTTGAATTTTTTTTTCTTTTTGAGACAGAGTTTCACTCTTGTTGCCCAGGCTGGAGTGCAATGCGACAATCTCAGCTCACTGCAACCTCTGCCTCTCAGGTTCAAGTGATTCTCCTGCTTCAGCCTCCTGAGTAGCTGAGATTACAGGCCTGAGCCACCATGCTCGGCTAATTTTGTATTTTTAGGAAATGGGGTTTCTCCATGTTGGTCAGGCTGCTCTTGAACTCCCGACTTCAGGTGGTCCGCCTGTCTTAGCCTCCCAGACTGCTTGGCTTACAGGTGTGTACCACCACTCCCAGCGATATTTGATTTTTTAAAGAGTGGCTTCAAAAATTACTGGGAAGGCCAGGCGTGGTGGCTCACACCTATAATCCCAGCACTTTGGGAGGCCAAGGCAGGCAGATCACCAGAGGTCAGGAGTTCGAGATCAGCCTGACTAACATGGTGAAATCCCATCTCTACTGAAGTATACAAACGTAGCTGGGCGTGGTGGCATGCACCTGTAATCTCAGCTACTCTCGAGGCTGAGGCAGGAGAATCTCTTGAACCTGGGAGGTGGAGGTGGTAGTGAGCTGGGAGGATTGTGCTACTGCACTCCAGCCTGGGCGACAGAGTGAGACCTGGCCTCAAAAAAAAAAAAAAAAAAAAAACTGGGGAAAGGATAGGTAAGCAGGTAGTGCTGACCAAACTACACTTTGGAGAGAAAAGTGGATTTGGATCTTTACCTCACCTTATACAGAAAAATTGCTTCAGAGTAAAGCATTTTTTACTTTTTTTTTCTATAAGCATGAGGGGAATGGGGAGTATCTTGGGACTAGGAAAGTACATATTAACAAGACTTCTTAAAATGCAAACCATAAGGTGAAAACTTTATGGATTTTATCACTTTGTAACCATCATGAGATGGGATCAAGCAAGAACCATCAATGGATGCTAAATCTAGAGAGAAGTTTTGACCAAGAGTAAGTACCTGCATAACCTTAAAGTGCCTGCCCACAGATTGCTTATTGCAAGAGAAAAACTACCTGTCTGGTGGAGGAACAGCCAATGAGAGAAAATTATTGTTTCCACGTTAAATTAAGTTGGTAATTAACTCTAGTATGTGTAAGAGAACATTCATAAGCTTAGGAAATACACATGGAAGTATTTGTAATGTAACTTACTCTCAAAGCAGTTGATAAAAAAAAAATAGGGCAATATATTACAAAGTAAATGGAGTAAATATGTTCATAGGATTTTGTCATAAAAATTAAGGAAAATTTTACTAATCTTAAAAAGCTTAGTTGGCTAGGATAAAATAATTTGCTGCATTTAAACCAGCAGTTATCTAGAATACAAGAAACTCCTGGAAATCAACCAGAGTAGCCCAGTGGAAATATGGGCAAGGATTGAACAGGCGATTTACAGAAAGATAAACCAGATAGAATGGCTAATCGTTTTGTATAAATCTTAAGAACAATACCAAGCGAGGAAAAACAAATAGAAGGATAGCTTTTATGCAGTATCATTTATATAAATTTAAAATGCATGCATACATTCATAACAGTGTTTCAAAATTGCAGCTGCAAAGATATCAGAGGAGGTGTTTATGATTAGGGAGATGAATGGAAAGTAAAAGGACCCCCAAAATAGAATAAAAGTAGAGAGGGATGCTACACACAGATGTCAGCAGGCCATGACCTCAAGAGTTGGATGAATTAAACTCACCAAAGGTCCCTAAGATAAAGGAGGAGAAAGTGACAGCTCCCATGCTCTTATTAATTTGGCTTGATCTTAATGTGTTCGAATTTCCATTACAGCTCAGGGTACCAGCCCCAACTTGCCCACTTTCCTACGCATTTAATATTTAAACTTTCCTGGCTTTCTCACCAAACTCGAACCCTACTCCTGGCACACCTTTGGGCATGTCAGGGATACGTTCATCACAAACTGTTTTGTGCCACAAAGGGATTGTTTCCCAGCTTTTGGCCAAGAGTACAGGTGCCCATTCCTGAGAATTTCAGCTTCACATTAAAAAAAATATTAGATATAATTAAGAGACCATAAAATTTACCCGCTTAAAATGCTCAATTCAATAGTTTTTAGTATACTTAGTTATGCACTCACCATATTCCTAGAACATTTTCATCCAAAAAAGAAAACCTGTACCCATTATTCAGCTTCATTTTTAATCGTGTATTTCTCCCCCCAGGGGTGGTAATAAAACTTTCAGGCTCGTCACCATCCAACAAGAAAAACGTGCAGCCTGGGGCTCCATGGGAACTGGTTATCACTTGGCAGGCTTGGGTAAACACCTGGAGGCTTGAGGCGGCCCTGCCAAGATGTCTTTTTCAATATTTTTGAAAAGATAATAAATGTGCATGGCAGTGGTGAAAGGATGCCCAGGGGAAAGACTCTCCCCCTACCCCCAACCTCACACCCTTCCCTGACCCCTACTCTGGAGGCAATGAGTTTAGCAGTTTCTTGTGTGTCTTCTTGGAGAGATCCTCCCCGCAGAGGTGTTTTGTTTTTTGAGGCAGGGTCTCTGTCGCCCAGGCTGGAGTGCAGTGGTATGATCATGGCTCACTGCAACCTCGACCTCCCAGGCTCAAGAGATCCTCCCACCTCAGCCTCCCCAAGCAACTGAGACCACAGGCGTGCCACCATGCCCAGCTAATTTTTAACGTTTTTTTGTAGAGACAGGGGTCTCCAACTCCTGGGCTCAAAGCAATCCACCCGCATCAACCACCCAAAGTGTTGGGATTACAGGCGTGAACCACCACACCCGGCCTCCCACAGGTTTCAGTCAGCATTATTTACCCCTCAGGAGAAGAAGGACCAAATTGGCTGCGGAGTGGGGTGTGTGGTTGAAAGGCCAAGGTGGGCCTACGGCATGTGCTCCTGCCTTTCGTTGAAGATCGACCCCTATAGCCTGCTGCTGTCCCTCCCTAGGTGACCACACGCTGAGGGTGTACCCATGCGCCTCGAGAACTGGAACCTAACTGCTTTGAGGGCGGGTCCTCCGGGGTCTGCACATGTGGCACTGGCCCAACTGGCACCCACCTGTGGGCGTAGCCAGAAACTTTCTAAGGCTGCATTGCTGAGTTTGCATGCAAACGCCCAGGGTGTGTAAACATGTGCGTTCTGAGTGAGCACGTGTGTGCACGTTGTGTGCTCTGTGTTCACGCATTGTGTGAGGATTGTGTGTACGGTGTGTGAGAAACTGCACCCTGCATCTATACACGCTTTGAGTGTGTATCTACACTGTGTGAGAAGGTGCATTTACGCTGGTGTGCACGTTGAGTGTGCATGTTGCATGTAAGTATGTGAACTGTGTGCGTGTGCACGCCTTCTGTGTGTGCACTGTGCACAGCAGTTTGTAAAGACGAGTGTACGCCCATACGCACTGTGTGAGGACTGCTGTGCACATGAAGTGCATACGCTATGTGCGCACGCAACGTGAGAACCAGTGCGCATATCGCACGTGCACGTCCTGCGTGCGCTGCGCATGGAACCCGTGCGCCTATTGCACGTCCACGCCCTGCGAGCGAGAACCGGTGCGCCTATCTCACGTGCACGCCCTGCGCGCGCTGTGCGTGAGAACCGGTGAGCCTATCGCATGTGCACGCCCTGCGCGCGCGCTGCGTGAGGACCGGTGCGCCTATCTCACGTGCACGCCCTGCGCGCGCTGTGCGTGAGAACCGGTGAGCCTATCGCATGTGCACGCCCTGCGCGCGCGCTGCGTGAGGACCGGTGCGCCTGTCGCCCGTGCACCCCTGCGTGCGCAGTGAGTGGAACCTGTGCGCCTATCGCACGTGCACGCCCTATGCGCGCGCTGCGTGAGGACGCGTGCGCATGCTGACGCGCACGGGTTCGATGCGGCGCGGCGGGCTTGGCAGTGCGCCTGTGCGGTCGGTGTGTCCTGATGGAGCGCGGCGGCGGCTTCGGGACGGGATCCCGGCCTGAGGGTACTGCGCGGGGTAGCCCTCTTTCAGGGAAGGTCGCAGAACCGGGCGCGGTGCGGACCTCTCACCCCAACTACAGGCCTCAAGGTAGGATCCCCAGAGTGTGGCGGGCGCCCGAGGGCTTCGGGTTCCCCCGCGGGGGCGGAGCGGGACGGGCAGGGTGGCTCAGGGCAGCGGTCTTCGAGCGTTGGGGGAAGGGGCACGGCTCAGAGCTGGGATAAATGCTCTTTCCTCGGTCCGGGATCGACCGGAGGTTTATCCAAGGGCCGCACCCCTCTCTGTGCGACCGGCGGTCTTTTTCTGGGGAGACCTGGGTGAGTGTGTACACCCGGGGGATGGCTTAGGGTGGGCGGTAGGTGTGTTTGAGTTGGAGGTGCCCGAGGAGGTGCTGGGTGTCCAGTACCTGTCGTCGAGGAGCAGCCGGCGTGGGGGTCTTAGGTTAAACAGCGGGCTTCTGGGCTTGCCCGGGCCTCAGCGTGCGCCCTCTCTGCTTTTTGAGAAACGCGCGCTAGCACCGCTGCAGCCCAGCTTCGCACCTCTTGGCGTTCCCAGGTGGCAAAACCAGTGTGTCACCCATTGGCAGAGGTGGAGGGATTGTTGCCTGGGCGGCCAGGTGTCTGTCGCGGACCGGGTGCTCCTCTGGCTCGGACGCACTCCCTGTGGTCTCCGCTACGCTGCTCAGGTGGCCGGGCCGCGGCCCCCTCCGGAGGCAGCGGGGCAAACCAGGCTCTCAGCCCTCGAGGCTGCAGATGCCTGGAGCCATGGAGGGCTGATCTCTGGCTGCCCAGAAGCCAGCGAGGCAGTGGGGGAGACTGTCAGGACATTTTGGCAGGATTTTAGATAAGCAGGTCTCGAATGGAGTCGTCTGATGCTAACGTTCTGTAAAGTGGATGCAGGTAGTGCGGGGGTGTAAACAGCATGGAAACTGATTTCATGCTGTTTTTCCTGACAACACCTTTCTTCTTTTTTCTTTTTTTACTTAATAATGCAGGCTATTTTTAAAACATTTTTTACTGCAGTCTAACATGCATTTTAAACGCACAAAACTGTGATTCGATGAATTATCACATAGTGAAAATATGAGTATTTTATATAAGCTGGGCCAAGAAAAGGAAAGAAATCAAGAGAAATTTTCATAAAACATGCTTTTTCACTGGGGTTGTGGGGGTGAGGGGTATTTTCTGATTGGGTCTTCAGTTGCATCATTCATAAAAGGAGGAGATAGCTTAAATAATTTCCAGTTGTGTTTTTCATTGTGCCTTTTCAAAGGCAGAATTCATTAAATGTCACAGGATAACATCATAACTACCTTTGAAATGTGCGCTTTTTGTTTTTATCCTTTCTGCTTGAAACACCCAAGCTGTATCTGCTAAGGAAGAACCTGGAAACCACCCTCCAGAATGACCCTCCCTGGCAGAGGCGACCTTATATAATAAAACATTGAAAAGGAGAAGTTGTTTCAGTTTGCATTTTTATTTGGTTGAGAGCTTAAATAATGGTTTATTTCGATGTTTTGTTGTACTCATGAGAAGTGGGGAGGGGTGGTACGGCTGGGCCTTCAGTGTATCTTGGATTTTATTTGAAGGAACTTAAGGGGAGATTTTTTTTTTTTTTAATGGAAACAAAATTAGGGGAAGGGAGGAGGTACTTTGGCAGGGGAAATTCTTAATAACTGTTTAGAAACTATTGTAGAATCATTTAATGCACTTTTCTGATATTAAGATTAGCTTAAAACTATTTTCATTTGAAATTGGAAATATAGAAAGACATGTTGTATAAAGGTTTAAAATGTTAAATAAACACCTATGAGCATTATGGTTGGTATGGTCAAATTGGAACGTTCAATTTAGGTGCCAGGTGATACCACAATTTGTTCTTTGGGGGAGTTAGCAAGGTTAGGTGCTTAAAAAAACAGTCTCCTTAGAAAAATTATGATTATTGAGGTTTCATAATAATCTGTCCTGTATACTGATTATTCTTGGTTACCCAGGCCCTTAGCATTTGGGACCCATTCCTAATGAGAATTAACCTGCTTTTCTAGAGAGTCAACCACTGTTCCTAAGCTTCAGCTGGGTGCTGTGAAGTCTGCAAAACACAGAAAGACCTGAGATGTTTAGGCTATCCAACAGTTTTGTGTTATACAGTTGGGGTATATGAGTTGGCTGGTGGTTTTCCTGGGAGCTGTTGTAGAAGAAGACAACAAGGAAACACCGCTGGTGGTTTCCTCTAGCAACAGGTTCTTCTGATACTGAAATCCTGTGCATGTTCCTATTACCCCCCAGTGATGCCTTCTTTCTTTCCTTTTAATTACCTCTGAATAGAAATTACCAAATCTACTGTTTATTTTAATACTTATCTGATATGCATAGTATAACAAATGACCAAGAGCTTGTTTCAATCTGCTTGAATACCTTATTTTATTTTATTTTTTGGGGGGGATGGAGTCTTGCTCTTGTCCCCCAGGCTAAAGTGCAGTGGCACAATCTCAGCTCACCGCAATCTCCACCTCCCGGGTTCAATCGATTGTCCTGCCTCAGCCTCCTGAGTAGCTGGAATTACAGGCACCTACCACCACACCTGGCTAATTTTTTATATTATTTTAGTAGAGACGGGGTTTTGCCATGTTTGTTGGCCAGGCTAGTCTTGAACTCCTGACCTTGTGATCCACCTGCCTTGGCCTCCCAAAGTGCTGGAATTGCAGGCATGAGCCACTGCAGCCGGCCTCAATCTGCTTAAATACCTTTAACCAGCTGATAGAAACAGCAGATCTCAACCATGACATTGGACAGCATCACTGTCACACAGACCTTGTGTCCCCCTCAGACTGAAATACTCTCTTCTCCCGTTTTCTCTTCAGGAATTCACTTCCTCTAGGTTCTCAGAATTAATGAACTTCCTCCTGTCTGTCCCTGCAGTACCTCCAGGCAAGCACTCTTACTCTGCCTGTGTGATATTAACCTTCATGCTCCTCTAGGCAGATGCTCATTGGGTGTTTACTGTGCCAGACTCTGCTGGCCATCGCTGTTACTAAAGCTGAGTAGATAGATTGAGGTCCAGACAGCCTGGGTATGAATGTCAGCACTGTCCTTCCTACTGTGTCATTTTAGGGAAGTTATTTGACTTCTGTGAGCTTCAGTTTTCTCATGTTTAAAATGGGCTTTAAAAGCAGTTGTCAAGTGTATCGCACTTGCTGGACGCAGTGGCTCACACCTGTAATCCCAGCATTTTGGGATGCTGAGGCAGAATGATCAATCGAGCCCAGGAGTTCAACACCAGCCTAGGGGACAAAGTGAGACCCTATCTCTTGAAAAAAAAAAAAACAGCTGGGTGTAGTGGTGCATATCTGTAGTCCCAGTTACTCAGGAGACTGAGGTGGGAGGATCGCTTGAGCCCTGGAGGTTGAGGCTGCTGTGAGCCATGATGGTGCCACTGCACACCAGCCTGGGAGAAAGAGTGAGATTCTGTTACACACACACACACACACACACACACAAAGTGGAGGTTGCTGAAGAACAACACTGGGAGATAGAGTACTGTCTGGAGGATGAAGGAATTAATATCTGTAAAGCAGGCCTGACGTACAAGTGCTCAAGCTGGTGCATTTGCTCTGTTAGATTGTTAGCTTGAGAGCAAGGCCTGGGTCCAGCTTATAGGCACTTCTCTCAGTGCTGCCTGGTGCAGAAGGTGACTGGATCATCATCCTACCCCTCCTTAGGGTTTTTGTGCATAGTAGGTCTGTGACCATTGTTTAATCGTGTCATGCTGGGAGCAGCTACACTGGGTTGAGTGCTCATAAATCACTGGTGAGTTGGATTAAAGAAATGTGGCAGTGCAGAACTTTGAGATAATGGAACTGCAAAGCGTGTTTCCTGAGGCCCGTTTAGTTTTCCAGTGTATTCTACAGGTATATATTGTTTTTAATTTTTTTTTCATTTTTTTATTATAATAGCTTTTGGGGTACAAGTGGTTTTGGGTTACATGGATGAATTGTATAGTGGTGAAATCTCAGATTTTTGTGTCCCACTCACCTGAGTAGTATACATTGTTTACTGAATTGAAATCCTTTCCCCCTTGTTCCCTAGGAAGGAGGGAATTGCTTTGAGGTAAGATGGCATTTCCTCATGTCCTTCCATCTGTGTATCTTCATCCCCTGCCCCGGAGCATTAGAGTGTACAGGTGAAAACTGGAAGTTCAGGATAACCTCCCTCGGGGGTTCACAATAGGGTGGGCCCGAGCAGCAAAGACTGAGAGTTGGGTCCCAAGAAATCGGAGTTCTTCATCCTTTTTCAAAGTTCTGTTTAAAATTATTCTTGAACACTTTAATCCTAAAACTGTTCAGATCAAGAAGAACAAGTTAAGTTTATGCCTCTAGAGTCTCTTTGTCAGTGGAAAGGACCACAAACTTCCTACAACGCTGTATTTGGTTTGCGGCTCCTGGCTTTATTTACTGATGGCAGCATAGGACTTGGACTTAGCAGGACCTTCAGGCAAACTGCTGAAAGTCTTTCTGATTTCTCTTCTGATGTCCTGGCCATGGTGACGGAGCTGTGCAAAGTCTGTCATCTCTAACCCTGCTTCCTCTCCAACATGAAAGGATGTTTTCCTTTTCCCTCTCTTTCAGTTGCCCCATCTTCTTTAGTGGCTAGTGTTTTAAAAGAACATGTTGTCTTCTATAGTAATTACACTGATTGACTCACAAAACAGAAGGATTCACAAGGTAGATTTGGGCAGGCGACAGATGGAGATTTCTGGGGGATATTGGTAAATATCCTGGTGGGTCTTGTTGAGAGGATTTAGTGAGATATGTTGCCTGGTGATACAATGATACTGCCTGGTTTTGGGGGGCTGTCTGTGTGCTAAGTTGGCTCTGGCAGCAGTTACAGGATTTGAAAACTTCCCACAGCCCTGCCCTCCAGCCTCTTTTGAAAGGAATTCCACCAGAAGAAGGAAGGAGGCAGGTAGAAGGCAGCTGCCCTTAGGGAGGGAGTGTCCACTGTCCACCTCACATCTGTGTTGGCCACGCTGAAATGCGGAGTTCTCTGTCTCAGCATCTGAGGCTCTGGGACTGGCTAGGCCTCTGGATCCCG